GAGTCCTCCACCAGACCCCTGAGTCCTCCACCAGACCCCTGAGTCCTGGTATAGATGGGAACTCTTACTTTAAGCCAAACACTCCATGGGACGGCCGATTCGGACTGCCGATCAAGCCAGGGGTGGTGCCAGGGGGGTCTGGCTGTTTCGAAGGCAGTCCGTCGCAGTCCCAGGTCCGGGTCGTGTCTGGGCCTTATACTTCAGCCAATTCTTTCAATTCCGCCACACCCGCCTCCATGACCTTGCTCCACTTCACGCCAAACCTGGCGCGGTTGCACTCCAGGAGCTGAAGGGTCATGGGTCCTGGGTGCCTGGTGGAGAAACATCCACTTTCTTTCTACTCCAAAAATGAGGATGAAAAGGAGTGATCAAAGGTCCCCAAAGAGGTGGAACGTCGACCTGAACTAGGGTACCTATGGGAGGGTCTATGTTTCTTCAACCTCTGTTGGCCCCTTCAAAGGAAAAAAGGCCCTTGCTGTCCGAAACCATGCAACTTGGAGGGGACCTCCGTGTGCACTCCAAAGTAATGTAGACTCCTGATCAGTAAACCCCCAAGCCTAAAAAGGTCTTACAATCCATGTCATGGGGGGTGTTATTAATCAAGAGATATCAAGGGTCTACATTCAGGGAGGCCTACGGCATCCCATTCCCTAAAGCTCTACACTCCGAGTAACTCACATAGAAGTGAACAACCACCTGTTTGTAGAGGACAACGGCCATTTCCACTCCTGAAGCAATCATGGAAAAGGATGGCATGACCCTTGGTTCAAGACCATGTTGCTCTACAAACAGGGGAATTGTCCACTGACCGTCCGCGTCCATGTTTGAGCGGAGTTATGAGGCGATATACAATCCCTGGAACTAACATGGAAGCGGACGTCCTGGCCTCTTGGAAGACCATGAAATCCACTACAAACAGGGTGTGCCATCCACGTAACCATGTAAGTCAAGGAACAATGCCGCCGTTTCGTCACCACGGACTCAATGCACTCTCTAGTGACTTAACCAGGCGACCAGGCGATAGATTCCCTTCCCAAAACTCCTCCTGGCCCAAGGCGCTGCTTCTCAAATTCTTCTTGGGATTTCTCCTGGCGCTGAGACAGAAAGCTGCATCGAAAGCTGCATCAGCCGACAGCTTGCACTCTGAAACAGCGAAGGAATGCGTACGCGTTTTTGCGGGGTGTATATTTTTAACAGGGAGGCACCCAACCAATAACTTTTTGGTCTATCTTCCTTCTTGCAGGGTCTTTGGGAGGTCTCCCAATTTTCATACGCTGCACCCATATAACTATGGCCTTGTTCAAGGAGCGGACCGAGAAAATGGAGAAGAACAAGACTCAAAGACCAAACACCCTGAGAATCGAAGAACATCTGCCACCCAGCTCCAGCCATCGAAAAACACCTCGCCCCATCCGCCCTCCGGCGTCCGTCCCCTCTTCCTCCGGTACCTCCGCTCGCCTGGACTGTGAGGTCCTTCGGCTTCATCATCACCGCCTTGGCGGCGATGGCGCCGTAGTGGATGTCGATGAGCTTCTTCTTGTCCTGACACGGAGGCGCAGGCGGCGAAGGCGCGTGCGTTTTGGGAGGGAGCCGTTTGGAGTGTGGAGTGTGGATGAGGGGGCTTCGAAGCCATCGAGGTTTCTTGCGAAATATGGGTGGAGTTGAAGACTATAGCACAAAACATGTTACATTTTGATCAAACTCTTTGATCATCTTTAGATAATCCTTTTTTTGGATGGATTGGATGCCTTTGCTTTACCAACCAACTACAGTCATTGGTTGGAAAGCTCGTTTCACCTTGAGAAAGCACCTTCACCACCTGCCCGCGTTCCACCGTGGCACCATCGCCCAACTTCTTAGGTCCCACTTTCCTCATCACCCCCGCCCTGATTACACCGCCAACCTCGCACCCCACCTCACCTCCCCCCTCGAATTCTGCCGGCCCGATCGAACTCAGACGGAATTCCACCCCCAGCAACCCGCAATTCCAAGGGTCGATGAGGGTGGACTTGATGGCACCCTCTGCTTTGATGGTGAGCCCCGAGCCACTGAGCTTCTCCTGGTCCCATCGGCTCGCCCGGCTCGGTCAGGCGAGGGCGACGCACCGGGAGGACGGACGGACAGGGGCGTCGGTGGTGTTGCGAAGTCTGGCTGAAAGTGGAAAGGGGGGGGTGAGTGGTGAAGGTGGGATGATACATGCAAGGCAAAGTTGGAGGTGTCAGAAGGAAGGTGGGAAACTCTGGGAAACGGAAGTGAACATGAAATGACTTCAAAATGTTGCTTGAGGAGGATGTCTCTTCCAGGAGTCACAACGGGGTGATGTTTGGTCCCTAAATGAGTTGAGAATGGGCACCCCCTAACCTCCATTAAGCGCCCCCTTTTGTGACTGCTGGTTGGATATCTGTGGATCAAAATTTGGCGATGTGGGTCACACTTGGCCCTTCCAATGGGCTTGGTGTCCGTGACACATGAGGCTGACACATGTTCTACTCCACTCATCTTCTCTCCCAAGCTGCCAGGGGTGCTTAGCCACTGAGAGGTGCTTTAGCCACCCACTGACTTCTCACGACCTACGAATGCGCCGCGTGTAACGACATGCTGCGTGTGGCAGACATGTCCGGGGTGCCCAGCTCACTGGGAGGATCGGGGTGCCCAGCTTCTCCACTCGGGATCGGACGAAAACATCCACCCCACTCCATGTGGCATGGAAGGGTTGGTGGAATCCGTGTTCAGTTCTCAAGTGCAGGGAATTCCGGATTTTAGACATGGTCTTTCCACACCCATATATTAATGGACATCAATGACCTACGCACCGAAGAAAGACACATGATTCCCTTGCCCCATGGTCCTTCTGAAGCTCTGCATGCTCTGCTAATTCAGAAGTAGAAAAACATGCAAAAGCACCGCCACGACTGGTGAAACCCGTCGTTGGAGCCACCCAGCGGCTCAACCCCGCCGCGGGTTTCCGCCGGTGGATCCTTCCTTCACGTCTCCAAGATCTTCGGGGGATGTGTTGTGCGGCGCCGTTTTTGGCACGTCCATTCCCAGACCATCCATGTATGGAATAGTTGCATACATTTACCGTACCATACCGTTCCCCATTTAAGACACCAATGTAGGTAACTATTCCATACATGGATGGTCTGGGATTCCACCTGAGTGACGGACCCGTCCTTCACCAGCGCTTGCACCTTCTCGTTGTTCCTGGGGCGCTGGGCGGCGGCGCTGGCCGGAGTTTGGGCGGCTTTGGGGCAGGCTCCGAGTGCTGAACCCAGCAAGGGTTCAAAGTTTGAGGTGGATTTGCTCACCCCCTAGGGATCCAAGTACCTTCTCAGAAGGTGATTGGAGACTATGTATGAGGCTTGGAGGGCCCAAGTATCTTTTGAGAAGGTATGTGGATCCCTTTTGGGACCCCATTATAGGGCTCCAGTCATACCTTTTTCGGTGGGACGGGGCTGGGTGCCAGGAGGGTCGAGTCATACCGAACCTGAGGAGGTACTTGGAGACCTATGGGCCAACAACCCCGGAAAAAGCACAACTATTCCCCCGGTTTTGCCATGCAAGTTAGGTCTTTGAACCAAAAGTAGCTAGCCTTGCGCCTGACCGATCGGGCCTGCCCCACCCAGCGTCCAGTTCCCTGGTGGTCCAAGCGTCGCATGGGGCTTGATGAACACGAAGGCCGTGTGGCTCTTGCCCCCGGCCTCGATGGTCTCAGCGCTCAGGCATTCACCTCGGGAGACGGCGTCCGGCGGCCCGGTTGGAGACGGGTGCACCGATGGGTGCAAACAGATGGGGGGAGACAGCGATTGGGGCTTCCAAATGGGTGCGATTGGGGCTCCAACTGTTAAAAGGATCGGCTGGATGAAACAGTGAAACATACCAGGACCCTCCGACCTTCGGGATGCCCTGACTGGAAGCCTTTTCGTGCGGTAGATCGTGTGGGGTAGTCGTTCGCCAGGACACCCCGAAGGTCGGAGGGTCCAGGTACATTGATTCCTGAAATCAACGTTCCAACAAATCCCCACAGCTATGGCCTATGGCAGTCCATGGCGGTCCCAAATGGCGGTCGTGGGTTTGGGCCTGAGATCCGGAGATCGTCTTTTGTTCTTGTTACCCTGGGATCAGTGTGGAGGGTCCTGGATCGTCTATGGGTGAATCCGCCGGAATCCGCTGGTCGATGGTGCTGCCGACGAATTGTCCTTCCCGGCCTTCCCCAAAGTACATTGGACGGTTCTCAAGTGTACCACGGATCTCATAACACTGCTTTCCGTGGTACATGACGGAGAACCGTCCAATGGGGTTATTGCATGACGTTGGCAATGGGGTTTAGTACATGACGGGAATATGCCACCAAAAGTACGCCTTTCCAGTGCCATTCCCGCCAATGGGGTTATTGCATGGCAAGTGATGCAATTTACCATATGTTGGTCGCGACAGGCAGAAAAATGCGCGCGTTCCCTGCAGCGTCTGAGCCATTCGGGCCCGGTGATAGGCCAAAAATCAAGGTGAACGGAGCTTTCCACCAAAAATCGTTTTTTCTGGAGTGCCTTCCCCCATTTTTTTACGCTTCAAGCAGCCATACGGTACTAGCCGGTAGCCTACTGCCTTCCCCCAAAAACGAAAAGGTGAAAGCAGGTGATCCACACCAACGGGTGTTGGGTGAAAGCAGGTGAAAGCATGTTTGGATCAAAACGGCGAAGATCCTTTCGCTCCTTTCCCACGTGTGAAACGCCCAGCAGCCTGTGGTCTTCATGATGATGTTGGTCACCTGAGGCCAGTTCTGGCTTCCAAGAACTTGATCAGAACTGGATTCCGGATTGATCCATCCCAAATCCAAGGTTGAACAACAAAACAGTTAGTTGCGTGGTCAACACGAGTCAACCTCCTTTCAAGAAGTCAGTGGTAATCTCCATCTGCTTTCAGGAATGCCTAGGACGTGTCGGCCTACTCCACTCGCGACGCTTTGGGTGGCCTGTTCCGCACGCGGCGCTTAGGTTGCTCCGCAGCTCCGCAGCTCGTGGTTCATGCGGAAGGCAAACGATCAACTCATTGGTACCACAAAAAGAACCGCGTGAAAGCAACAGTCAACAAACCCAGACAATCCATGTATGGAATAGTTACCTACATTGGTGTCTTAAATGGGGTAAATGTATGCAACTATTCCATACATGGATGGTCTGGGAAAGACCGACGTGTCCTTTTCCTTTGTTCCGTGCATGTGTCGCATCTATCAGTGGGTTCAATCATTCCGGAATCCCAAGTAAAGGTTGACAATATAAGTTATTCGCTAGGTTATTCATGAAACATTCTGAAGCCCACCACCTCCAGTCCTATTGTTCTCTTCACCCAGGGCGCTCGATAGGGGTCGCAATTGGCCCCTGGCCGCCGGTCCTGTCAAGATCGAGAAAGATCGCCTGCCTGTGGAACGAGCCTTCTTGGATTTGCTTATTTTCTGAGTAGATGGCACAAACCTCAACATGTTCTTTACATGGGGGTTCATATAAACCACCTCTTGGGGTTTGTGCTGTCTACTCTCAATCCTCTCAATGCCATCTGCTCTCAATCAACATATTCCCCAGGTTCGGGGATTCACCCACATGGGAAGTTGCTATCAATTATAAGCAAAACTATAGGCGTTGGAACCCTACCAGGGCCCAAGCAAAATGAATTATCTGAGTCTGAATTCCAACAAAGTTTCTGAAGAGGAAGTTCCATTCACTCAATGTTGCCATGAGCGCAATCCACCATGGATTTGGGTCGTCCACTTTATATATAGCATATTATGGCCCCTTCTTGGCTAAGTCGACGCAGCACATCCACCTCCCCCGGGCACCCTGTCCCCACCAGCGCGCCCAGGCCATGCCCACGCTGTCTTCCCGCGTCCGCGGGCCGTCCTCCATGTAGCCGCGCCCGCTCTTCTCCGCCTCTCGCGGGATACGAATGGAGGCACCTCGGTTGGCCACGCCGTACCTGGGCGACGGTCAGCAGCTGCGGGGAGGTTCGCAGCTGGTGCAGGTGGGTCTTCAGCAGTGACCCAGTGATCTCAGTGGGTGGGTGAACCTACCCAGTGGGTGGGTGGATGGGTGGTTTGGAGTTTGGAGGTGAAATCTGATGCTATTCCTGTCCGTTACCCTCTCAACCGCAAAAAGGATGCGGTAACGAGGGCCAAACGGTGCAAGTACTTCTGGTGGTAGTTGATCAGTCTGAGCGGGGGTCGCCTCTGTTCTCTATGCTGTTGAGTTTTCGATTTCAGCTGTGCGAGTCGGAGAGGATTTCAGACTCGTCACGGTCAGAGGCTGAGGGATTTGGGCTGAGATGGATTTGGAGGTCTCTGGAGGTGAGCTCTCAAGTTACTAAGAGGTGAGCAACTCAGGCACGCTCCCTGAAATATCATGGAAGTGGAAAATGGACATTGACATTGACCGTTTTCCTACACAAACCGTTTTTTTCCTCAGCTTCCATGATTATTTGAGAGCAATCCAAATCAACCATCTATAGCTGCACCTCGCCCTGGTTGGGTCTTGAACTGGTGGTTTTGGGTATGGATTATGGATCAAAACTGGACTTGGGATGTGTACTTGTTTTTGGTATATTTTAATTTATTTTAATGATCAATTACCTTGCCTAAATATGCCTAATGGTTCTTTCATCAACCGCTTGGTGCCATTCACAGCAACCTTGCTCGCATCACCGGATGGCTGTGGAAAGAATGCGCCTGCCAACCACCCGCTGTCCATGTATGTACAGACCCACCTTCTCAGGGAGGTCTTGGGAGCCCGATCTTGGATGCCACACATGCACGCTTTGGCTTCGTTGGTTACTTTATGAAGAGTGATTCCCCGAAAAAATAGAAACAGTTTCCAATACAATTTTTAGTGGGGATCTACTTTTCTACTACATCTATCTATTTGGGGATTTTGGGGGCCTATATATTTAAGTTAGTGTACAGTGTACTTTCTATGATGGTATCTGGGCGCTCTCGAATCTCGAGCCTGTAGCCCGAGACGGTTTGCAAAACTGGCACGCACACTGTGCCGCCCGACGCCCCTTTTTCTCGGTGCCAGGCACATGTCTGGGACACTTCTCCCCGTGTCACCAACCCCAGAGTGTTTGCCATCATTCCGCCATATCCCGCCCTTGTCCCCCTGCAACTGTGATGCAGGAGAGTGGCTTGGAAAGAAATATGCTGTAAGAGGTCAATCTTGTTGCTACATCACTCGTGTGCACTTGTTGCTACATGCGTCTTGTGGAAACAGCTCCATTCGTTAGAGACCCGCCTCAATGCCCAACAATCCTCAGGCAAGCCAACCGGCGTTCTTCAGGCGTCGGTGGGCTCTGCGGAGGCGCTTCAGCCGCGGCATGATGCATTCAGCCTGGCGAGAACAAGCCGTGGGCGGAGCGATCTCTCGATGCACTCGTGTTGGCCGTGTTACGGTATGTGCGTTCAAATGTACGGTACGGTACGCTGCATGCTCCCAAACACCCCAGGTGGGGGGCAAGGTAGGCATGCGGCAAATATAGTCCACACATGGAGTGTCTGGGTTTGGGATGGCAATTGATGGCTTTCATTGATGTTTTCCTGGATAGGAGGTTGAGTTGAAGGACTGTTTGGTGGGGCATAATCTGGGGGCCTGGGTGAAAACGAAGATATTGGTACCCAAATCCTTTGAGTGGGCCCAAACCCTTGGAGTAGGTAAATATGCCATACATGGAGTGTCTGGGATAGACATGGCACAAAAATGGAGGGTGTTGCGATGGTGTAAAGCATTGCCGGCATTGCTGATGTCAAGCCTCCGCGGGGTTCCTGCTCTCTTCTGCTCCGCTCCTAGCTACTCCCACCTAGTCCTACCAAGTCCTCCCCTGCAAATGAACATGACCCCATGTTAGCACTGCTTGATAACGGGTCTGACCCATCTTCCCAAGCACAGATGGGTGTGATTCAGCGCTCCAGGCAGGCATGCATCTCTGGAACGTGGCGCGCATGGTCAGACGCCGTCCACCGCCCCCGTTGGTTTGAACCCGGACCTGATGAGAAGAGATCATGTCCACAGTGATCTCCTGTGCACATCCGAGTGGAGGAGAACCACCATGACCAAAGGACGTGTTGCTGATCAATCAGCACGAGGCAGTAAGCTGATGTAAGCTGTAAGCACGACCCCCCCCCATGTCAAAGCCCTAAACCCCCCACGTCGACCAACTATGGCCTCATCCTGAAGGGTCGGGTCGTCCGATGATATACAGTACCTGGACCTTCTGTCTGGAGGTCCCATAGTGGTGGGCTGGGGCTTCCACTGCTGGTATGCAGGTTGACCAAGGTTGACCAATTGAAGCACGTTTGAAACCATTGGAACCCAGCAGCACTCAGTTATACTCAGTTCACAGCCTCCGGCAGTTGATTCACCCAGTCTCCTTGGTACATCGTTTGCATCGCCGCTTTCTCTTGGGGCATCTGAGCTTGTGCGCGTTCAGCTTCTCGACGATGATGTCTCTTCCACACAGATCGCAAGGCACACGGCGCTTGGGGCATTCCTCCTGGGTGGTGGCGAGCGGTGCACAGCGGCTTGGCTTGACAGCTGCTTCGCCATGATATCCGATATCCCGAACAGTCCTATAGAACGCGACGAGGTATAGTTGACCACCTAAGAACACACCGGCCAAAAGTACACCCCCGAATCCTGAGATTCTAAATGAAGCCGCAACCTTCCCAGAAACTTGGCCCAGCAACAAGTTGACCAACCACGATCCAAGTCCAATCAACCCCTTAAGTACAAGTATAGGTGCAAGCACCTGTCCCTTCGCAGCGCACCTGTCCTTCGCGCAACTCGGACACTCTGTCCTTCTGGTGGAAAGGCACGTCGGTACTGAGCAGCTCCGTCCTGCATTGCTCGCAGCGCACCCGTTGTCTTTCACACCGGGCCCCGTGCGATGACCAGTCGCGCAAGCGCAGGCGCGCTCCGCAGCCCCAGCGGCATCGGAGCATGAGGTTCAGGACCTTTCGCCTTGGACGGCTTCGAATCTGGTACCGCCCCCGCCCGCGGACCCTACCCGACACCTTGGCCGGGAGGTACCCTAGCTTCTTCTTGGCAAGGGGTCTGGGGGCCAGCCGGGCCCCTCCAAAAACCCTTACCCAGACACTCCATGTATGCTATATATGATATATATGCCGATCAGTTGGGGTGGTGCCAGGGGGGTCAATGGGGCGCCATAGTATGGCAGTCCCATGAGTCGCGTCTGGGTTCGTGGTTTGAGGGTCCGGATCGGCCCGGCACGGTCAGGAACGGACCGGATCGATCGTTTGGTCCGTGGTCACACACGCTGGAAACACTCATCATGCATCCCTGTGGCGGGGGGCACCCGGCCTCCAGCTTCTTCTTTCGTGACCTTATGGGGTCTTTTAAGTGATCACGGGGACCGGGGGATCACGGGGATGCTACGGTCACTTTGAAGAACCCGGCTGTTTTCCTCTACATGTTAGTTTTCGGGGCCCGTCATCGGTGAGTCTGCCGAACTGGAACCCCTGGTGACCAGCGACATCGTGGTAGCTGGACGCCCTGAGTGATATTTTATATTAACATGCTGGCTGGTTGTGCCCTGAGTTGCGCCGAAGCCTAAGGAAACGTCGATCGGTCGGAAGGCAGTTCCCGTTCTGGAGCCACTGAATGACACGCCAAACCACGCCAAACTCCCAAACTCCCAAACCATCCCACGGATTGCAAAAAGAATCAAAAAAATACCAAAACCATCCAGAACCCTTCAGTTGGCTCGAATGAATACGTATGTTCCATATACTATACCCTGGGAGTCAAAGACTATAAAAAGAATAGTCTTTAGGTGACACGAAGAGGAATGTCCTTTACTTCAGTAAGTCAAAATATAGTCTTTGGACTTCTAGGGCTATATATAAATATATCTTATATCACCTGGATGACTGGAGCGTCTTATTGGAGCCAAGTGGCCGATCCCTAGGGGCTTTCACCACATCCCGAGCATCCTGGCGACAGACTGGGCAGCTGCGATGGGAAGCGATCCACTTGGTCCAGCAGATCTCGCAAAAGAGGTTGCCGCAATCATGTGCCAAGGCATCACCCGCCACTGACAAGCAAATGGCACACTCGAAACTATTGGCTTCACTTGGGTCACACCACTGGTGTTCATGTCCAGCATTCACCTCCTCCTCTTCCTCCTCTTCCTCTTCCTCCTCTTCCTCCTCTTCTTCCTCCTCTTCCTCCTCTTCCTCCATGTCTTCAGAGGTTGTCTCGGAGCAATTCTCTTCACGCAACTCCTGCTTCCAACCCTCCAAGGTCTGGCTGAAGGGTCTCGTTCTGCTCACCCGTCCCCCTTCGCCCGCGGAACCTGCGGAACCTGCGCCCGGCGGGGGGTGCGTCTGGGCCGCTCGGCCATGCCAGGCGAAGGTCACGTGCCCGTCGCCGAAGTCGCCTTCGATACCTGGAAGGCCGCGACGGAGACGGGTGAGACATGACCGAGCAGTTGACTCCTCAAACCACCCCAATGTACCCAGACACGACCCGTCTGGGACTGCCATAGGACTGCTGAGAAACGGCCAGGGGTGATGGTTTGAGGGGTCAGTGGGGCGGCATATATGGCAGTCCCATGGAGTGTCTGGGGTAGGTAAATATGTCAGTCCAGACGGTCAGCGTCCGGGATATAATTCCGATCTCTTGCCCAACCCAATGTGGGCTACGGGACTGCTGTGCCATGGATCGTCTGGGTCGGGGTGGTTACACCCTCATGGAGTGCCCGTCCAATCATCTGAAGAATCATAAAGAATCTAAAGTAAGAGTCCCAAACACTCCGTCTAAAACATTCTAAAGCTCCATGTATGCCAGCCATATTTACCGATCAGTTGGGGTGGTTTCAGGGGTCAGTGTAGCGGTAAAATTAGGGAAATATGCTATTAAACATTGGGTAAAGTAAGAGTCATGGAAGGCCTGACACAAACAACCTTCCAGCTCAGGGGTTGCGAAGGCACACCCTGGGACACTCATGGCAACCCAAGCTACCGAGACTTAAGACACTGTTCGTTGTCTGATTAGATTCCGGAAACCTTTCGTCTCAAATCCCTATCCCAGACACTCCATGGGACTGGCATATATGCCTACATTGGGGTGGTTTGGGGGGTCAATGGGGCGGCATATATTCCAGTCCCATGATGTCCCATGGAGGTATAGTGTTGGGAGCTAGGAGCATCCGGGGCCGTTGGCACCGAAAAAACCCGCGTGGAACACCCGGGTGGACACCCTCGTGGACACCCTCCCGACCTCGCCGTCTCCCAGCCGGCCAGTAAACTCAAATCCGTCCAAGTGGTGGATCTCCTGTCACGACCAGGTTCTCATATCATCTCATATCCCTAGGGGTCCAGTCGTACCGAACCTCAGGTTCGGCACGACTGGACCCTCCTGGCACCTACATGTCACAGTGCCTCCAATCACCGTACCTGAGAAGGTACAACTGGACCCGTAGGGATCCCTAGGGTATGTTCTCCTCAAATCCCCAACGACCCCCAATACCCCCGCCAATGTCCCGACCGACGACTGACGACCGAGGACGACCGAGGACGGCCGTCGAGGTGCAGGTGGGCAAGGTCCCCGTAAAGGCCACGTGCGCCATGGCGCCGGCCGCCGGTGACACGCCGCGGCTCCCCGCGCTGGGGTCGACACGCTGCGGGTGGGTCGACAGTCGAGACATGCATGGGTCGTTACACCGTGATCTTAAGAGGATCCATGGTGGCGTGGTTTTCGTGACCTACATGAAAACCACCAGTCATGGGTCTCGTTATGCACTTTGTTTGGAAATACTCATGGTCCACGTGGAAGCCATGGCCACGATACTGGCCACGATATCAAAGGACCAAATCCGAAGACCAATTGGACAGGGTGGTGGTGCTGTAAGCTTTCACTTCGGATGGTGAAATGCCTGGCCCCCTTGGAATGGAGTTCCGAAAGCATGGAGCCTGGCTTTGTGGATCCATGGATTTCAACCCATGAGGTCAGCATCAGGTGTTGGGATTTGGTTGGTGGCCAGTATTGCATTTGGTCAGGCACATGGCCTAGTCGAGCCTCAATGCCATTGCAAAACCCCCCATGGAGAATGATTTCCAAGTTGTTTTTGTTGAAGCAACTAGTTGGCAACTCCGGTTGTAAGGTGGCTTGCTGAAAAGGCATCTGAATTAGGCCATCCACTTTGCTTTCTGGCTTTCTCTCAAAGCACTCCGTGTCTCACTAGTAAGGGGTTGGGGGACTCCTTGTAGCTCCTCGGCTCCCTGGTGAATGGGGAATATGGATGCCCCTGGCTCCTTAGCTCCCTCCTGAGCAAAAGCTAGCTCATTACTTTTTGCATCCAAAGATGCTTGAAAGTGTTGATGTCGCAGGTCTCGTGCTTGCCTGCCGGTCGGAGGTCTTCCGTCGGGGTCGCAACGAAGAAACAGTGACCGAAACAGTCTGGATTGCTGCTGACAAGCTGCAGGAGACAAATCCTGCACCAGCTGAAACTTTAAAACATCCCAAACCAACTGTATAGACACCATCAAGGCCATGACTATATTCCAAGAGGACAAGCCCCGAACTTTGGAGGAGCAAAAAATGGTCTCACATTCAGGATTGAGATCTGCGGAAAATTGTTGAAACCTTGTCCTGTGCAGGCATTCATAATCATTCCTTTCGGGAGCTTGTTGAAACTGTGCCTATGTAGTAGGGCTAGCTAGTGGATGAAACTGCTAGTGTCTTTTTTCCTGCTTTGGGCAGTGCTTCTTCCGGACCATCTCAGCGCGGAGCGCTTCCTCGCCTGTCAGACGCTTGTCGTTGCCCTCACCGTACTCCTTGATGTGCTCCTTGGCCACCTTACCAAAGGCCTCGCACACCTGAACCCGCGGCGAACGGGCCACGTAACCGCGGGTTCGCGCGGTGGAGGTGGGGTGAAGGTGGAGTCCGGGGCCGAGTCCGACCGAGGTTCGGGCATGGCCCCGAGGTGCCCAGAAGCTCTTCGACTTGATTTCATATAGCCAAAGGCCCCCATGGGACTCCCAGACACTTCATGGGACTGCCATAGGACTGCCGATCAGGCCAGGGGTGGTGCCAGAGGGGTCAATGGGGCGGCATATATGGCAGTCCCATGGAGTGTCTTGGTTACTGGAATTTACTATACTGATCCCTCTGGCCCCGAATTCCGGCCTGATCGATATGCAGTATGCGATCGTCCCATGGAGCGCCTGGGATACAGTCGTCTTGTATGTCTTTGTACGTTCCACCTGCCTCCCATGAGAACTCGCCTTCCCCGCTTAGGCTAGCCTGGGGGATCACACCAGCACCAGGAAAACCAGACCTTGCGACCCTGTGTGGTGCGTGGGAAACCGCCGGTGTCGAGGTGGCGATGAGTGGCTCACTGAGTGGCTCTTGTTTCGCTCACATCTGACCATCCGAGAGCTTTCTCACTTCTCCAGAACCATGTCCCACTCGCTGATGTCCCATTGATTGCGCCCCTGGTAAACACCCCTGGAACCCCCCTCCCACCCCACCCGATTTGGACCTTGATGATGGTGTCATAGCCTCCAGCCACACGCATCGGCGTGACGCTGAAGTTGGTATGGCACCCGGCGCCGTTCCAGTCGCCCTCCGCGGGCTTCGGGTCCTGGCCACGGCCCACGGCAGACAGTCGGTGGCGTCGAGAGGTTGGGGGAGGGGCCCTTGGGGGCCTTCCAAAAGCGAAAGAAAGGTTGACCTGGTTGACCTGGTTTTGTAGCATGCAAAACCCCAGAGGATCCCAGGCAAACCACTATATAAGGAACCAGGGATTCGTTCGGTCTATGGGTTTAGTCTTTGGAACCACTGGTTACCAGCCATAACTGGATGCCCTGGGAAATAGTAGATCAATTGTTTGGTGGCAACATGTAGCAACCATCACATCGATGCAAACTCGAATCCTTTTAAGGGATCTGTGTTAGGGTTCTGCTTCACCGATCAAAGGTGCAAGGGGGCAGAAACCCACAAGGCATCCTGCCCATCTGCCGTCTCCGGAGTCGACATGCAGTGGTCATCCTCAACTTCTGACTAATGCACCACTCAGTTCTTGGATGGCAAAACCCAGTCACGTCAAGGGTCTACGAATGACCGTCTTGGAAATTCCCCTAGGGATCCAGTCGTATCTCCTCAGGTTCGGTATGACTGGACCCGGACCCTGGCACCCGGCCCAGTCCCACCGAAGCGCTTCGGCACGACTGGAATGTCTATAGCCCAGACACTCCATGTATGCCATATATGCCGCCCCATTGACCCCTCAAACCACCCCAACTGATCGGCATATATGGCAGTCCCATGAAGTGTCTGGGTAGGGTTTGCTCATAACATCAAAATCTGCTCATGCAACCGATGCCGGTGACACCGTCTCACCAAGTCTCCGATCCCGGAAGTCGAGTTCCAAGCGGCGAAGGAGCACACGCAGTCGTGCTTCTCGGTCACGCGCAACATGATGTAGCGTGCGATGGTCAAGTGATCTCCCATCCTCAGCTGGGGCAGCGAAAAAGGGCAGCTCAGGGCAGCAGAGCCTGTGGATCTACACTATCAAACGATCCAACCGCTAGACGTTCTTGGCATGATTCCGGACCTTTTGGTCCCTTCTTCGCTCTCTTGCAACAGGCTTCCCTCAGTGTCCCTGGGACAGACTCCTTTTTCCACCTGCTTATGTCCGAAGATGTTCAAAGTCTGTGTGTGGCGGATGGCCAAAACTCCCCCGAAAGGACTTCCGCCCCGCCACACCGGCGGAGGTCCGAAATTGACCTGCTTCTGCGGCGGGGCCTCCGCCCCCCAAACGATACAAACCGCTGCCGCGCCACTCGATGCCGCGGCAGGGGCCGATCTGGAACTCCCACCTCAGCCGGTTGGAGGAGCGCTTTTTGGTTGGTGTTCTCATTGGAACCCCATGGCACCATACAGGCCAACCAACTTGCCCAAGCACGCCCTGTCTGGGACTGCCATAGTTGCCGATCAGTTGGGGTGGTTGACATGGGATCTGTAGGCATAGATTCCATACACGAAGTGCCTGGTGTTGGACTTCAATACCTATGGCCACCCGCCACACTTCACGTACAAAGCTGGACTTGTGTATTCAGATACTCTTCAGATGCCTTCAGTCGCAGTGGCTCGAAACCCCTTGACCATCCTTTGGGTCCGAAATGCTTCTCATGCATTTTCCCTCCAATCATCACCGTTTGGTACCCTATAAGGATCCTTGGACCCGACACCTTCACAGGGGTTGAGCCGATCCTTACCTGGTGTTCGAGGGTCCGGATCCTTTGAGTAAGAGTGCCGATATCTGGTCTCCACTCCTCTGACCGAGCCACTGTCCCGGCATCACTTCCGCGTTGATGCCTGAGATCTTCACTCCCGCCAACATGCACATCTTGTAGTGCTCATCTGCCACGGGCCTCACAGCGAGGTCAATGACTGACCAGGCGCAGTCTTTTGGGGGAGTCGAGGATATTGGACTGAAGTGCGAAGTACCGTGCGCCAAAAATCCAGCGTGGAGCAAATATGGGTGCGGTAGTAAAATAGGAAGCCTCCCAGGCAACTCTCTGGAAGGTTCAGGAGATAGTCTACCCAGCCAGGGCCAGGGGAACTGTCTATTCAAATGCACACTCACACGGCCTGCATGACAATGCATGACAGGGGCTTGTCCCATGGATCGTCGGAAGGTTCGTAGGAAACACGCGCCGAAACTCGGAAAATCACGAAACCCTAGGCTTCCAGGCACCATTGGTTTATACGCCCCGGGCCGGAAGTCCCTCAATTCGATAAGAGCTATAGTTAAAGGTTAACCGGCACAGGTGTTGAGTAGTAGTCATACCACTAGTCATACCCTATAGATCCCTATAGGAGTTCAGGAACTCCATGTCTAATTAACACATGGTCTGACCTTTTTTGGATGACTCGAGTCCAAGAAGTTCCTGACAGCTCACTGTTTGACTGGCAAGTGACAAGTATAAATAAGTAGGATCAAGTATAGAGTCAAGTAGGTCGGTCTGTCACCCCAATTTTCCCACCCAAAAGTTCCGCCAACCCCGCCAATGCCGCACCCCCTGCGACTCCGCGCCTGCCGATGGCCACGTTAAAGCCGGCGCCGGTATAGTATGGCCCTTGGGGTGCGGGCTCGCTGTTGTCGGCGTTGAAGCCCAAAGGCACCGTAGGCTTCATCCCGACCTTCCCTGCGCGGTGGGTGTAGCAGTGGCGTGGGAGGCGCAGTGGAGGCGCGCGCGGCGGGGGGGGAAGCCGTGGAAGGTGCGTGGTGTGTTGGAGGCCTGCAGGGGCAAGAAAGCCCTCAGCTGATGGGAAGCCACCTGATCAGTATTCGGATTTCATGGTCTTCCGAACTCGGGGCCTATGCCATCCACGTCCCAATCACGTCCCAAACATCAGGGAGTGACCATCGAATTGGTCTGGGATCCAACCACCCACCGGAAAGCCACAGGAAATGGGAGGTCCACTCGACCGGTCCGCCGCGGCATCGGAGCACCATGCGCGCGGGCATCGGAGCGCCCCTGCCGTTCTGGCCTGGCTTCATCAGGGTGTACTCCTGCTCGATGCCGAACCAAGGGTCCAGGGAGCGGTACATGTCCTCAGCCCAGAGGTGGGTCAGAACCCGAACCGTTCGACTCTCCTAGTTCGGTACCCCGTGGTGACGGGTCCTAGTTCAGGTCACTTCACCGGAGTGCCGCCTTCACTTCTTCACCATGAGTCACGTTTCAGTGGCTTGGGCGGATTATAACCGATGGCGGTGCGCTTGATGCGTGCCTCGGTGCCACGGTTGAAGGGATGAAAGGGCGACACGACCCGTCTGGGACTTGCCGTAGGACTATTGGGGTGGTTTTGGGGGGTCTGGCTTGATCGGCAGTCCGCAGTCCCATGGGTCGTGTCTGGGTGGGATGAAAGGGAAACATTTCTGGCGAAAGAGGTTGGGCACAAAGCGGGTTTTGAGAGCAGCCAGGGGTTCTGGGCAGCTAGACATGACTGTTCCAAGACCTCACCGGCGAACGACTGGCGTCCGGTCTGGCTGTCATCTGCGCCAAAGCTGACTTGCACAAAGACTCCGGCCTTACACACAAGTCAACCCCACAGTTTAAACGTGTTCACTTCCCACATGACTGATCTTTTGGAAGGCTGTGGTTGGTTCGTACTCATATTCCACTCACTAAATACATCTACCTAGAACCTGAGTGACCTCTATTTTGGAGCACCAACCACCCAAAATATGGTCATATATGGTCTTTTCCTATCAAAACAGAGGTCAAATGGGTTCTAGGTAAATACATTCCAAATATACCACTCACCCAACCCCTTCCCCTCCGACCTTCTGACCCTTCTTCGGCGCGCAAGAAAGGCGCCATGGTCTCGGCGCACTTGGCGCGGGTGTTGTTCTTCGCCGGCTGGTCGTCCCAGGCATTCCAGGCATCGGCCAAAACCATGACGTGGGGGTAGCCGCGGAACCTAGGTGAGGTGGAAACGTCACGCGCGCACCTGGTTTCAGGGTTTTCTCGTCTGCCGTTCCGGTTCTTGGAAGAACATGGAAGAACTATGTTGACCTGGCTTGGTGGCCGAAATGCATCTAAAATCCTCATTTGTTAATAGAATTAAGATGTAAAAGCATTTGCACCGGGACCCACCAGGGGTGGTTAATGGACACCCCTTAACCTCTAAGGGGCTATCAATAGAATCCCCTCAACGGGCGTCCTGGTTGTTTGGCAAAACCCGTTGAGTGCTGACTCTGCGCCCGGGCAGGCCCTGCACCAGCGCCACCGGAGGCGAAGGCTTGGCTACTGGGAAGCATCCGAATGTAGACTCTTGATTACTCTCTTGATTATAGTTCACCCACGTTCACCCCCCCAAGCCTGAAGAGGCTTTTCAATCCAAATGAATCAAGGGTCTACATTACTTGGAAGATCATCTGAACCATGGGCCGTAGTATGGGAACTCCAACACCAGGCTCGCTCCATGTCAACGAATTAGGCCGGGCTCCTCTGCTCTCCCAATCCGCTCCTCTGCTCTCCCGATCAGCATCAACCACATCCCAGGGGCGGGTCGTTGAAAATCGCCCGCGGCTTCAAAAGTACCTGGCGGTCACCGGAGGGTCGGATCGGCTGGAATCGGATGGCGAAGGTCCATCTGGTCCATCCAGCACTGCTACGGTCACAGGAGCTTTAGCTGGGTCAATGATGTATTGGGGGCTCGAGCTGATGGGGGGGAGATGGGGGAGCTTATATATACTTAATCCTATGGTGCGCATGACGTACATCAGCAATCGATAAATCTCAATACGGTCGAAGCGTTGTGTTTTTCCGAAACTACTATGAACTACTCACGCCACGTCAGGCCTTGGTGGGGATGCCCAAAATCAATGTGTTTTCAAAGTGTTGATGCTTCAAGGCAAAGCGGACGGCCCTTCCAAGTTAAACAGGTCAAGAATGGGCCGGGTTGTATAAATGGGGCTCACATGGGGACCGAAAATTTCACAATACCTCCCAAAAGTCATAGCAACCAAGAAGACCAACCCCTCTTTCTCTCTTTGGCGAGTATGACTCATCACTGAGCCATCTCACAAAAACGCCAAGAAGGCCGGGCTGTTCATGTTCACCAGTCACCCCAAGCTGGGCCCAAGTTGCGAAATTCCTGAGGATGACTTGACATTGACTTCATCCGCCTTCGCCCACCTCCCCCCGCGCTCGCCCAGCTCGCGTGCGTGGGTGGACCCCACCCAACCGCGCCTCCGAGTTGTGGCCGTCCGCCTGTCCCGTGCTGCTGCCGTCGTAGTTCCACACCTTCAAATCGCTGACCTCCGCCGAGCTCGCCGAGCTCGCTCCCGCCGCCCTCCACTCGAGCTCCCGCTCGAACCGCTCAGCCGGTCTAACACCACCCGATGGGACTGGCATCGAACTGCCGATCCATGGGCCTGGTCGTCCCAGACAAACGCCCGTTTCGAAACGGCAGTCCGGCAGTCCCAGGTCCGGGTCGTGTCTGAGTACACTATCCACTGGGCTTGGCAAACTTGGTCGCTCCAAGTGGGCCTGGCTTTTTGGGTTCGGGTCAGAACTGGAGGGCCCCTGGGTAAAAGCCTCATCCGCTCCCTCCTGAGCAAAAGCTATAGGCTGTAGCTCAACCACATTGAGCAGATTTTTGAATAACAGAAGAAAACCACTCCAATGTAAGTGTCTGGGGCATTGAGCATTCATAGGGAGACCGACCGCCGGCGCCTTCTCTCTCTCTCTCTCTCTCCCCCTGTCTGCCCAGCCAGGGCCAAACATACCGGTTTTGGTCACGGCCGACCGTTCCGCCCTTTCCTGGGCTGAACAAGTGGAAAAAGGTTGAAAGTCATCCCCAACACTCCATGGGGTTGGCATGGCATAATTGCATACATGGACCCCAAATCAACCACCCCGAACGCCCGTTTCTCGGCAGCCCGAATCGGCAGTCCCAGTCCCACGGTGTGTCTGGGAATGTCATCCTAGCGGGTCCCTGCCCTAGGCCAACCTCCCTAAGTAGTTTGATTCCTTCTCGGTGGTCAACCAGGGTGTCCCGGTTGCAAACCCACAGCCATATGAGAACCCGGGTGTTGTTGCGAGTTGCAGGATGCATGTCCGCTTGGAGAAACACGTGAGGGATCGGAGTTTGACCGACTCCATCTGACATTCACAGCCTTCAACCCAATCCCATAGACTCCATGTATGCCATATATGCCTACATTGGGGTGGTTTGGGGGGGCCAATGTAGGCATATATGGCATACATGGAGTCTATGGGAATTGAACTCCAGCAAATTCACCCTCCGGAAAGGCGGTCGGGACCTTCTCCACCGCAACGGCAGGTGTTGAAGCACCCGAAGCTCGGCCACCGAACGGAGAGGGCGAGAGGGCGGTTGACGGTCGACCCAGTCCATGTTCCCCAGACCCATAAGCTGCACCTCCTTGGCTTTGTGGAGGGCTTAGATGTTGCGAGAAGTTTCGACCTCCCCGACAACCCCAAAAAACATCCTATATATACCAGGACCCTCCTGTCGGGGTGCCCTGTCTGGAAGCCTAGTGCGGTAGTGTGGGGTACAGTAGTTCATTGGACACCCCGACAGGAGGGTCCTGGTATGATCGTGATGACATAATCATATGACGTTGTTATGTTATCAACCCTCAATTCCTGCCCAAACGATGGGGCCGCCCCGACCTTGCTGGCACCTTTCTCCCGTCCTCCCTGCACTCGGAATGCACCTTCAAGGGCCGTGCTGTCATCGTCATGGTCTTTGATCGTGTCACGCCATCCGCGTCCAACCAGACCTCGATGATTTGAGCATCTGACGGGTTAGGGGTCACCTGGGAAGCCCGCAAAAATGCCTGGATCCACTGATGTAGGAGGCTCCAAGTCACCTTGTGAACAGGTGACACTCCCTGAAACAATGATTCATGGAAGTGGACAGTGGCCCCGAAAGGAAGACGATTTTCCTCTACCAAGAGGGGTTGTCCGCTTCCATGATTGTTGCAGGGAGGGTATTGTCGGGATGGATCTCCATTGAACACCCCGCGCGTACCGTACTGGGCGCAGGTGGTGGGTGCACCAGTCCGCCTCAGGTGAGATTGGCCAACTCAGAAAGGAACCCAAAATGTGTCTGGCAGGTAGCTCCAAGCATGTGATGAGTGATGAGTGATTTCGGTGCTGACTTCCGTCAGCCGCTCACAACGCGGCTGAGCACGCGGCCCCTTGATCCGCCCCAAAACGCCGGAGATCGGAAACACCCTCGGGGCGGTCGGTCATGGTCGGTCGTTCTGCGATGCAGGCCACATACTCCGCCAGCACGCAGCCGCTGAAGCTCCGCAACTTCGCCAGGGCCGAGGCGCCGCCATCCTTGCCGACGCTCACCTGAAAGCACGCGGCGTGAGTTTTCGCGTGCGAAGGTTAGCAATATAGGGTCACTCAGTAGGGTCATATAATATATGTATAAGGAATAAAACCTGGGACCGAGGACAAAATGAACAGAAGAAGCATGAAAGAAACGATCAGGGAAGCGACAAACCCAAAAACACGGGATGAACCTCAGAGCTGGAGCAGTGGACCAGTTCGATTATGCCTTTGAAATCTACAGCTTGCAAACAGCTGCCGATGCCATGCTGCAGAACTCTCCGATGACATGCTGCCCCATCTCGCCATCGCGCCATGGGGGGGTTGGGAGATGAACACCTCATGAACATCTTTGGACTGATGGGTATCCATGAAGTATTCACTCATACTGCATACATCTGCATACTCAGAAGATCTCACTTTCAACTGAGGCCTTGTCGTCCATCTTTCCCTTTGGCTCAGGCTTGGGCGCAGCCTCGTGCACGGGCACGCTTCTATCGCGGGGTGGGCATGGATCAACATGGATCTACTACCCCATACACGACGTGTCTGGGACTGCCATAGGACTGCCGACCAGTTGGGGTGGTGCCAGGGGGGTCTGGCTTGATCGGCATATATGGCAGTCCCATTAGTCGTGTATGGGTACTGCAGACGGTTCCAAAAAAGACCCTCAGACTTCCTGACATGCAGAGACCTCAAATCAAGAGGCGGTTCCTTCCGCAAAGACCCACGATCTCCACTTCTCAAACGCTTCGCCGTGTGCGGCCGTGGAGAGTGGGTCCCCGGCTGCGCCCCCCCAAAAAATACCCCATGAGGCCAAGCCTTTGAGGGACACGACCCCAAGTAATCCTCCATGGAGGCTTTGACTGCCATGGAGGATCCAAATATATGGAGTTCCATGGATGGTTGGGGCTGTGAACAGTTACTCTGTGTCTCGCCCCAAACATGGAAACGTCTAACCGGCAAAGCTGGTTAAAGGACAGGGACTGGGAACCCGTTTTCACCCCGAAGTTCTGACCTGTAGACCGACATCTGCCAGAATTGACTCAAGGGAAATTAGATGAAAATCTACCGGAGGTACCACCCAGTTCGGATGGTTTATAGAACCCCCTGCTGACTATATCGATCTATTTCCCATCTAATAGCCACCCTTCGGGTGGTTTCGGCCGAAGCCTATAGTTTTGGGAGGTTACAGGCAAAGCTTCCTTCGGACATGAAAAAGCGCGTAGAGCGGCCGGACAGGACCAGCCCGCTTGAGGGCTCTGCACCCCGCCAGGGTCTTAAAGCCCTCCGCGGACTTAGGTGAAAAGGCTGGCATGATCACTTTTTGATGGCAACCCCCTATGTATGTTCCAGGTGACACGGGCGGTTTTCCACTTCAAGCCCCGAAAACCGGTTTCCGTGCCTTGGCCTTCGCCTTGGGCTTCTCATCTTTCTTGCCGTCCTTCGCCTCATGACCGCCAGAGGGTGGAGTCAACGAAATTGATAAGTACCTCCTGAAACGGTACCTCCACGATGGAAGGTTTATAGACCATGGTATATACTATTTTATACTGGGCATATCGGTATATACCTATACCTGGATCCTCCTTTCCTTTTTCCCTTCGCGCATACTGAGCCTACTGTAGCAAGGCTCTCGGTCTGGAAGGTCATGCACTAGCGGGCTGTCTACTGACCATGGTAATCGGGTTGGACCGAAGACGAGCACTTCCTACTCTAACTAACTTCTCTCGTCTCTGACACTTCCGTGCAGCAATTGTGCTTCCAAGACACCAAGCCGAATGCAATTTGCTGAGCTCTTCACTGCGCGCGTGTTTGTCAAAGGGAAGCTGGAACCTCATGCCCGGTGCCAATCGGGGCGCGCGCCGAAAAGATCACAAGAAACGTGGTCAGTGGTGCACGTACGCCGCGAGCGTGACGTCATCTGTCAGCGCGCCGGCCGTTGCTCGGCCGGACTTGATCAGCTCGTTCAGCTCAGACAACGGCTGAGCAGCGGCACCAAGCATGGCCGTCTGCCCGTCTGAGAACTGGCCTGTTGTCACGACCTCGGAGATGGTGGGCGAGAACTGGAGCGACAGCTCAATGGTCTTCTGCCGGTCGTTGTTTGCCATTCCAGCGATCGCAGCCGCAATCGGGGCAACGTGATCATGGGTCACAGCCGTTAGATTTGCGCGGATCATGCTGGCAGCAAGCGCGGGCGTCGGCTTGTGACCTGTTGTGTTCACCTGAACCTATGACATGGGCCTGGCATTGACTGCTGCCAACTGGGAAAATAGCCTGGCTAGACGATTCATGAACATCAAGATTCCTCAGATTAACTCCAAAAGATCGGCTGACAAATGAGCCATCTAAATGACATTCCGACGACTGCCGAATGGCAATCTCTGATTGGTAACTCAGGCTTGGGCGACGAAAAAAGGGGCGATACGAACAAATGCACTGTCAGCCTTAATTGGCGCCATGTGCAGGAAAGCATCGATTCGACTTTGTTCTTTACAACCGCAGCTAACCAAGCTATGGCTCATTTCGCACCCTCTGCCGAGGCTGACTGATCCAGTTGCTGAGAATTTGATGCTCGAAGCTTCTTGGATCTGCTGCCATCCTGGACTTCTGCTTTTCTCACTGGCGAAGCAGAGAACTTCCCGAAAACCTTGGCCTGATGGAAGGCGTTGGAATCCTCCATTGCTTGAATCAATTCCTCTCCATCTGGAGGCACTTCCAGGTCTTCCGCTTCTGGCAATTGATATAAACATCCACCTCTGCCGGTACGAAATCTTCGTCGTCCATGCAACAGGGCAGATTGTTTGATCGCCTCCAGTAGCTCCTTGAGCTTTGCCAGTCTGGCATGAACTTCCTCTAGAGCACTTTTTCTCAGCACCTTGTAATCCGCTTGCTCTCTCTCGTAGGCAGTTTGCAACCCTTGCGCAAAAGACTTCCACTCCTCGTCTATTTCGCGAAGGTCGGACTTGGCCTTCTCGAGCTGTTTGCGTGCCTGAGCAACTTTGTTTACATCTCCATGCGTAATTATAGGCTTGCTCTGCACTGGCTGACTGGGTGCAGCAGTAGCCGCAGCCATAATGATGTCTTCCAGTTCCTTGATAAAACCGGATCCCATGGTTCTCTTGAGCTCTTCGATCTTCTCCTTCATTTCTGGCGCAAATGAAGGAGCCGCCGGTGGCTGCGGTAGTTCTGGCTGTAGGTCGTTGCCTTCCTCCTCGTTGACTGGTGGCATCCGCAAGGCCGGCGTTGTCTTCACCCATGGGACTCCAGGAGAATTCTTCAGCTTGACCCTTCTTCCAGAAAAAGGAATCCTGCGCATGGATTCCTCCTGCTCTGCACTCTTCTTGGTCTTGTCCTCTTGCTTCTTTCGGATCTGGATTTCGACTTCTGAATTGCCGTTTGCCACCATCTCTTACATTTGTAGCAATAAAGAGTCGCCATATCCATCTCGCACCAGCAAAACCGGCACTGCCAAGTCGTCATGGATCTCGTCTGAGGCGGAGTTGACCCGTGATGACCTTCGAGAATCTGGCTGCAGTTACACGCTCTCTTCAACAGGTTCTTCGCAAAGTTTTGTATTCTCTCCAACCTCAACAAAGCTCTGGCCCGCTTCCGCCTTCTCCTGCGATTGCGGTGCCAAGGAGCTTCCTTCAGGATCACTACGAAGCGAAAATAAGAGGACCACGATCAAAAAGTACGCCCGCGGCCGCCCAATATGAAAGGGCCTCCCCGGGCTAAGGTATCTTGCTAAAAGCTGCCTAGCTGGGTACCAACTAGAACAGCTCACGGGGCCTTGGCTACCTGTGTTTCAACTCTCTCATATAAGCTCAATCGAGCTTGCCCTTGCCCAGTAATCTTGACTTGAACTAGATTGAGCGGGCACTGGACAACAAACTCCAGCGACGCTGGAATCTGAAGCTCGTACACCATGCCAGATGCCCAGACGAGATCGTCAAAGTCAGGTGGCAGGTAGCATGTTGCGAATGACATAAGCAGGAACAATGTTCCCTGCAGGTGCTGTCACCCGATTTGCATTGTTCGCGAAACAAACTGGACACACGATGTTGATAGGTCCAATGTTCAACAAATCATCTCCTGAGCCAGAATGTGTAGGTGCCACTCCTTGCTTCACCCTGTAACGATAAGCAGTGAAACCACCCACCGCAGCTTGATTGACACCGGCCGCTGTCGCAATCTTGTGATAAAACATAGATTGCGGCACCTTGGGCAAACAACCCAACTGTGTCGCGATGTCCAAATTCTTGGTCTGAGCATTCAGAGTGAGGGCATCTGGAGTGTACGTCAAATCGTCTTTCTTCGAAAAGTCTTGGGTATTCATGGAACTCCCAATGAAATTTGCTTGCTCACAAGCGAATGGCAAGATTTGCGGGATTGGCATATGGATGAGCCTCTCACTGACACCTTGTGTAAACAATCTGTTCCCTGGAGGTCCCATCCTCAATCTCTTCCTCTCTAGCCGACATGCAACGTATGGTTCCTCCTTTAGGCTAAAAAAGTGCCGGACTTCAATCCGGCAGAATTTTCCGCCGGATTCAAAAAAAAGCCGAGAACCTGAAAAAACATCCGGATCCAAGGTTTTGAAAAACAGAGAGGCTCATCTAGCCTGAACCGGGTGTCCTCCAAATAGCGAGTGGGTGTCCAAATTTCTACCCGTCCGGTAAACTCCAAAGCACAAGCTGGCAGCTTTTCCACGGACTCGCAGAAATTTTGCTGCAAGTTGCAAACAATCAGCACTCCCATTCAAAACCATAATGATAGCAAATAGCACCAAGTTCAATTACCAGGCTCCATGCGCACATTGCAACCAAGCCAGCAGGTCAAAAGGTTGAATCTTCGCTTATGCGATTTTTCACTTTGATCGTCCATGTGACGCGATATTGTCCCCCCGCTACCACATCGCCTCAACAAGCCGCGGCTCTAAGAATCACGAAGCTTCAAGGCAACCTTCAACGGACGCGACCGTTTTACTCGAACAACCCTCACCTCGTCCTAAAGCCCTCCAGAAGCTTAAAGCTTCAAGAAGCACACACCACAAACTCAAACAGGTTGTGGCTGCCAGTAAACGGGCACACCGGCTGCCAGCTAGCTGGCAGTCAAATAGCCTACCAAGGTTAAGCGCACCCAGCTCAAAGCCCCGGCCCTTCTGCTTTGGTCTTTGTTGGAAACTGAGGTGTCCTTACTGAACCAGCACAATTTAACAGTAAAATCGTCACAAGTCCTTTATGCCAAACAGGTTTTGCAACACCTCATTACTCCAAGTGCAAAGCGGTTGGACCCTAGGTATACCAAGTGTTCGAGGTTTTCCTGGCCAAAAAGATTTGGCTGGCTATATTTTGACGGGTTTTCCTGGCCAAATGGATTTGGCTAGTCAAATTGTGACGGGTTTTCCCGGCCAAATAACCAAATCCATTTGGCTGAGTGGTTTTGCTCAGAAAACCCATCACAATCTGGAAGCTCGGCTGGCCCCAGAAAAGCGATGGGTTTTTTAAAAAACCCATCACAATTCCATATAGGTTTTGGAAAAACCCATCACTTTTTGAAGTTGGGGATGAGCTGGAAAGTTTGACGGGTTTTCGTTTTCCTTATTTAATTGCGATGGGTTTTTTGAAAAACCCATCACATTTTGGGGCTGGGGCCCCGGTCTGAAACGTGACGGGTTTTCCCGGCCAAATCAATTTGGCTGGCAAAATTGTGACGGGTTTTCCGTCTCCAATTCATTCATTTCTGCAAGGCCCCGTTGATCGAGCTTGGCCGGGCGCAAGGCACTGAAGCTTCGGGCGCACATTGCACCTACAAGCTTCAGGTGTTTGCATCCGACTGCTCCAATTATAATCTTCCAATCCGAGATCGTTGAGCCTCCGCTCCTGAGCACCAATACAAGGTAAATGTCAAGCCGAGAAAGTTTCACGTCCAAGCTGGGCATATTGAGCAATCAGCATATAAGCGCAGTGGTTGGTGCTTCCAGCTGGCTCAGGCAATCCTCGGGGCTGCACAGACCTACATCAACACATGACTCCGCAGAGGGTCGAGAAAGATCTGGCAAATAGTGTGAAGTACGAGTTGGACCTATTGAAGTTGCAACGTCCCGGTCAAAGTCAAGCCTTTCTTTTTGCAGCTCCAACAGGTCCACGTTCTCCATCCAAGTGCTTTAAAAATCTTGAAGCGAAAGCTCTATCAAAATGTGGCGCAAAACTTTTGAAATAGTGGTGCTTGGCTGTGGCGCCAGAAGCGGTGGATTATGTTTGTGGTTGTGAGGAAGGAGATGGTCTCTGCAGACTCTTCACACGTAACGTCTCCATCATCATCATATCTCCACGCTGGCATGGCTGCCCACTACGAAGAAATCTAAATTCTTGAAGTTCCATGACTGTATATATAGGTCTGTCTTGAGTGTACCAGGCGCATGTGGATGTTGCCTCATTCTTAGAGCTCTTTGCTCCCAAGCAGGACCAAATAAACTACATGGCTGTGTTACATGCTTTTAACGGAGCCAGCAAGAAACTTGACAACAAGGTTCTATTCCAAATCAAACACCCACTTGCTATTTGGAAGACACCCGGCTCAAGCTAGATGAGCCTAGAGATGATGAAAGGTTAGATCATACACAAACAACCCGCCTTTGCGCCACGAGTAGTTTTTCTGGAACACCCTCATTCCACAACCCAATCGCTGGAGCCTTCCCATTGCCCTCGCCCATCTTCCGAAATGCCTAAGAGCAGAACCTTCACAAAATACAAGCCAACCTGTGCCCAAGCAAAGACGTCCAAAAACAAGCCAAGGAGTATGTGTCTAGGAACCCCTCTTTCTCTGCAACCGTGTCCCTGAAGATCCTTTACAAAGTGGGTTTCTCTCCAGGATTTTTCAGTTTGCGTCAGGACCTCGACCTCTGCAAACAAAAGATTCTGAACAACACACTTTCCACAACCCAATTCTCGTCCGGCTCTGCAAACCTGCATAGCTAAAACTATCTATTCCCCAGCCCCCCGACATCCTGAAACAACGGGAATACATTATCGCCTATGTTCTTTCAGCTTAGGTACACGTACATCGCACTGTATCGAATTCATTTATAGAAGATCACCTAAACGGATCTGATTGAGCCAGTGTGAACCACTGCTGAAACCGGTGGAATGAGAAAGCAGTGGAACAGGCAAACGAGCACAATTTCAAGCAAAGTTATTCGTCAGTAGTGGATTTACCTCAAAGAAATGCGGACCACAAAGAATGCAAAGCCTTGAGAATCCACATAAAGTGACTTGGAAAAACTGCCGGACCCCGTAAAAGTGCTGGACTGAAGATCTAGGTATATTCTATGGGAGTGATATGGAAGTGGCATAGGGAACTCCAGGAGTTCTCCACAGCCAGGGAGAACAACCAGGAAAGACCGCCCGACTGGCGAGCTTGATAGCATCATATAGCATAGCCATCTAAGGAACGGAGGGTCAGATTGAGAGTCCAAACTTATGCTGTTTGCCACTCTGCGTGTCCAATAGACTACCCAGCCCACTGCTAGACTGAACCTCCATTGGGCACCATTGGATGATGGTATGCATATCATGGATGGGGCTTCACAGTATTGATACAAGTATATATAGTTCATGCATGTTCATGCTTCCGCTTCCAGAGATTGAGTGGTGAAATGTGGCGAACCTGTGAAGTGCGGAAAGAGTTGGCAGAAAACCACCCAGCCTTCCTGTGTTTCCATGGAAAAAAAGACTGTAACTTTTTTCCACCAGTTCTGGTTAAGAGGGGCGGCAATTTCCATGTGCTCCACTTTTCCTGTCTAGGCATCCAAACCCTGACCGCAGAAACTCCCTTCTTTCAGTGGGCGCGGGCCGCGCCTTGGCCTTTGGCTCCGGCTTGGCTTTCGCGCCGGCTTTCGCCTTGGGCTTTGGCTCCGACTTGGCTGCCGCCTTCTTCTTCTTGGCGGGCTTGCAAGTCTCCCAATACCTCGGCTGCTGCAGAGGTATTGCATGGGCCAGCCCATTTGGATTGGAAAGCCTGTTCGACGTGACTGGGAGTTGTACCTACCATGCTACCTGCTATGTGAGATTTTTTCATGAACAAAGGTGCCCTTTGGTGTATCTGCATCAGCAGATGGTGCAACTCCGATACCAGTGGCAAAACACAGAACATCTGGCAAGTAGGTGGGGTGCCGGGTACTGTGAGATCGTGCGTTCGGTGCTACATCCCACCAAGTCCAAGCGAAAGTGTGCAGCTCGGCCTCTGCTGCCCTAGACTCCCTAGACGTCCGACTTCTGGAAGGGGAAACAGTGGATCTTTAGGTGCCACTGGCCTTGCTGCCCTGAGTCATATGAGGGGTTTTGTTAAATGACGAGTCGATCTACATGACCCGTGACTACCTGGGGCTTCAACTGGAGGAACTCTGGCGAGCTTTGATCGCTGAGGAAAACCACCGTGTGGTTTCACCACACGCAGCTTGAAGGATCCCAGACTCCACATCTAGAACGTCACTGCTTCGGCGGCCCGGGGCTCGCATGTCCAGGCGGTCCAGGTTTCCCGATCGGGACGGCAAATGTATGACAACCACCTGGTGACACTCATCACTGTCCAACTTGAGAATGAGCTCTCTTTCCCAAACACTCCATGTGTGGCATATTTACATTGGGGTGGTGCCAGAGGGGTCAATGTAGTAGGCATATATGACAGTCCCATGGAGCCTTTGGGTGTTGCTCCATGGTCTTTTCACCACGAATGTAGGCCGTAGAATAGCTGCGAAAAACATCGAATCCTGGACGTGGGACTGTCAGACTGGTTGAGTGCTAGCCACCCCCCACGGATCGCCCAGGTTCGCGATCGGCGATCTCACGATCCAAGGGACTCTTCGATCTCACGCCTTTTGTAGGTCCTGAAAGAACATGAGCTGCTCTGAAAACCTGCAGTAACTCCCTAGGTCATATAAACACATCTTCAGCAAGGTTTTTAGAGTTGCTCAATTGTCATGTCCAGTTTGCACTTGCCTAGGTGATTGAACACGCGATGCCTTTCGTAGGTCCTCTTGTAGGTCGCCACCAGCTCGTTGTACGTGACTGCCTCTCCTCGCCCCGGTGGCACAGTGCGGACTCCGTGCGACGGAGGCAGTGAAGAAGACCGGTGAAGACGCTCGTTGTACGTGACCGGCTCTTCGTTGCAGCAGGAGAGCCAAACACCCCCTTTTTCACTCAGTGCGGAACAGGTCAAGAGGAAAATCAGTGCTGAAAAAGACCCAAACCCCCTCTAAGGCCTTGATTTAGGTCTAGGTTCGAAGGCCTGCTGCTACAAGGCCGGAGCTATATATACAAGTTACAAAGCCCCTCTAAAACAGGAGCAACGAGTTGGTGTTCTCACAAAGAAAGCCTCAAAAACTCATGAGTTGTGGTGCACACTGTTTGACACCAAGAAAGGCCTCCCTAACTAAGTAACTAAGTATGCACAGCATGGGGTTACCTTCTCCTTGCCCTAGCCCCCACATGTCAACTCCCTTGTGCGAGAATTCCACAGGTGTCCTGTCGCTGGGTCTACGCGCTTGTCAGTCATGCTGGGTCTGCAATGACTTCGAAGGACGCAAAACACGAGTCAGAGCGGTTTTTCACGCTAAGCTGGGCAGGCTCGAGCTTCAATCGCTACAGCGGACAAGCTCTGCGGCGGGTTTCACGCAAAGTCCGTCGTCGGCTTAACCCCTCACAACGAGCGTCCAAAGCTTCGCATCCCATTTTGTGTGTGGCTTCAGCCAACCCTGAGGACCAAATCAAGCCTCATCTTCCATTTGAGAGACGGGACGTTGGAGAAAGCTTGGACTTGAACTGCTTGCACTCACTTTTGGACCCACTACCTCCTACAAGCCCTATAGGATCAAGTACCTTCTCAGAAGGTGTTTGGAGACACTGTTATGTAGGTTTGGAGGCTCCAAGTCCTCCTGCCTCACTCCACGAATTTACCGGAATTCCGCCTCGCTGCTTTTCCCCACTTGCGTCAAGGATGCAGAACTTCAAAGGCAAATCAGGCCGGCTTCCCGCGGCTTCCCCCCAAGTAAAGAAATCACGTGAGGTACCAGGACCCTCCAAGTCTGTGTCTATTTATAGCCCCCTGGCTGTGACTCGGGGTGTCCATTAACCACCCCTTGAGTACCAGGCATGAAGATTATTTCAAAGAGAACATGCGGTGGGGTGGTCTCGCGAGCCAAGCAGAACGAACTGGACCCACCAATGGCCCGCAGCTGGAAATGTTCCCCACAAAACCCCCCACAAACGCTTGCGGCATGGCCATTACATGTATATACATCCATGGACGACCCTTTTAACGACGTATACTTTACAGGACCGCCTAAAGAGGGATGTATATTTATGTATATTTGGTTGGATTGTGGGATTTCAAACGGAACACCGGGAGAAATAGAAGGGATGTCACCCAGTCAGCACCCGGGACCCCCAAAAAAGGTCATGCCACAACTCGAGGAAGTGTCTCCACCACACTTCCTCTGAGTCCACGTGAAAACCCATCAACCTGCGACACCCGACACCCAACACCCGTCACTCCCCCCACGCGGCTCCCCGCGGGTTCCCCCGCGCGGGTTCCCCCGCGGGTTCCCCCGCGGCCTGGTGGTATGTGAGACCACGAGGCCGAAGCAAGATCCCAAGTCCGGATGACCTCAACTGGTCCGGAGGTCGTCTGTTCGCACCGGGGCACCGGTCCAGACCAGCCGTCCGGTCCGGGTCGAAGAGCGTTCTGGAATGAACGATGCAGCTTGATGGGCCTTCCCTAGTCAGCAGGGGTTGAAGAACCCTAGTTCGACTATCCTATAGGTACCCCAGTAGGGTCCTAGTTCGCGTCACTTAACCTCTGTTGGAGTCAGCCCTAGATTGAAGGATGCTTTCTTTGGCTCGTGTTTTTTTGTGCCCGTGTCCGGTTCCAGTCAACCCATTCTCACCTCTTTTTTGGAGGAAACATGTGGAAATCATTGACACCAATGGCCTTCAACAAACATGCAGCCTAGGGGTACCGGTAGTGATGATACCTCACCTATCCTCGCCTACCGGTCACCTACCCCCAAAACACATCCCAATCAAGCACTGTTCAAAAGGTACTCTGGGATGCTACAGCCAAGTTCATCTGGACTCATTCATGCGGCTGTTTCCAGTCTTAGATTGGGCTTCGTGCACTCTGGGTTCATTATGTTCATATTGTCCTTATCTGACTGCTTGGGTAGGAAGGAGTCGCCCATGCAGCGATTGGATTCGAATCCATCCAAAGGACCCAAGCAATTATCCATGCAGCATCAATTGGACAGCCCGTGGCATGAGGGCTGTCCATGCCTAATTGCCCCTCAAAAGCTGGGTTCCTTGAGTCCATCGCAGCCTTTGGAGTTGCTTGGGGTCTGAAGTTCCTGCTTGATTCTGCTTGCCCTGCAGCGCCTTGGCCGCGTCCCTTGGTTTCGCGGCCAAGGTGCTCAAGAGCCGCTTGCAAAGCGTGCTCTTGCCCACCCCACTCGGCCCGCACAGCACCAGCAGCGAACCTGCCCAAACCACCGCGATCCGAACCATCGGCGTTGGAGGAGGATGGCTTACCCAATCTCCATGACACTATCACTGCACTGGCATATTGACCGATCAGGCCAGGTGTGGTGCCAGAGGGGTCAATGACATCTTCCAGTCCCAAGCACCTGGGGATGGATCTTGAAAGAACTCCCTCCGCCCCATCGGTCCGACTTGACCCGAGCCGTCCGGACGAGCCGCGCGGGCGCGCGGAGCCCGGGGCGGTTCGAGGCCGGGGTTCGTAGCCACCTCGATCAACCTGGTGCGTCGTGCAGGCTCTGTTCACCTTCTTCGGCACCACCAGGTCTAAAAACTGCAGGTCTAAAGTTCCAATATGGCCACCATGGTCACTTCTGCAGGTGCAAGTTGCAAGATCCTCGTCATTTGGTGGACCACCCCTTTGATGCGTTTGGGTCTTCGGAAAAACCTTTGGACATTCAGTGTCTTGCGGCTCACTGAGTCCACTCCAAAACGGACCCTGAGCCACTTGGAGTTCCTTCCGCCCAATCTCCCACCCCGAGTGGCCTGCAGTTCCTTCCGCCACCTCTGCAGCTCTCTCCCGCACTGCCGCGCTGGTGCCGGTGCCCGAGGCGCCAAGGGAGACGACCCTCCGCCGCGGCTTCTTTCGCGTGCCCGAGCGCCACGCCTGGGGCCGGAGGCGGCAGGTTTCAAGGCGCAAGAGCCACATGAATCCTTCACTAGGTGAGGAAATGTTGTCATTGATCCTAATCTATACGCAGGACAAATGGAAAGAATGATGAGCAGTGGACGCAAGTTGAGTAGGTTCGACGCTAAACGAAGGGGTTGGACGCTAAAACTTGAGTTGGTGAAGTTACTGGGACCATGACATCTGAATATTGAAGGTTGATGGCCTAAAAACCGTGACTTTGTACACCTCATGAATGGCGGTGCTCCGACCGCTTTTCAATGCTTTTTGAACCCTTTTCCAGAAATACTTGGACGATTACACGGATTCTGATTCAATCATGTTCAAAAGGGGCCTTGCTACTCAAAGGCACTGGGGATTGCAACAGCCATTCTTCCAATCGTCTTTACCAAAGAACAATTTTGTGCCATTTTGTTATTTAATATTTGAAAGGCTAGGGCTAGGGATGTTCTTAGAAGAAATCAGACTTGACTGGTCCGAGGTCCGCTGGTTGGTACTTGGAAGGAGGCATGCCCACGATTGGTCATGGACGAATTCCTACAGCATGAGGTGCACATCTGACCGGTGTCGTATCAGTCTTGGTATCATAAAATGGTGTCCGTCCACAGTTTCCTCTTCGCCAACAGAGGATTCACTCAGACGGTAAAAATTCCCCCGTTAGCAATCACTTACCGCCAGAGCCTTTGAGCTGAGCTACTGCTTGCGCGCCACGGCTCACCGCCGGCAGAACAGCGGCGCACAACGCGTACGCGCCACAAGCAGCGCGAGCACCACGAACTTGGGCGAATGGTGCCGCTTTGGGCTTCAGGGGCACTGGCCTGGCGTAGCAGGTCTTTGCAGCAGAGCGGAATTGGCAGAACACTTGGCCTGGGGACAGGGGGTCCAAGCGGTGGAACCTACAAAATGTCCTTTAAAAAAAGCAACAAGCGCTTCCAATCACTCCTCCCAAAGAGAAAAGCTATCAGCCATGTCAGCATATGTCAGCCATGTAGCCCATGACCGGAAGAGCCGGGCCTCTGTGCTACCAAGCTGGGCCCCAGGAGTCCAGTCGCACCGGCAGAAAACACAGAGCTGGACACCAAGGACTGGGACATCTAGTTACCTCAAACATCCACAATCATGGATCACCATCATTGATCCTCAAACATCTTGGCAGATCTGAGCACCCCTCAAAGCCTCAACTCTCCGTGGTGGACCATCGGAGAGAAGGAACAAACCATGAACACATGAAAGCCTAGGCCTAGAGTCCTAGATGCACCCTCGACCCACCGCACTTCAAATGGAATGAAACAGAGATTCCATGTATAGAGATTCCTTCATAAGTTACAGAAGGTCAACTAAGGGATCTGAAACAAAACACACTCGCATGCACCGTGTCTGCTGTGTCTGCGCACCCGTTTGCCATCAACAAGTCCGGAGTGGCCACTAAGTCGGCCGACGACCAGATGCCTCCAGGCCAGCACAGCACGTGGCTGGTCGAGTCCTGCCAGGTGTGGCCTCCTCCCAACAGAGGTGAGGCCTTTTTGGACCCTACCTCCGGATACCTCACCTGAAGTACCTGACTGGGACAGTCGATACATCAGGTTCTTCTAGGAGCTGTCAGAAAGCTGAGACGGTCCACACCGCCCAGCCCCTCGCCATACTCTCACGGCGTCCGCGCCGCGCCGGGGAGGAAAACATGTCTCTTCCTCATCAGGACTGAGGAGCAACTGAGGATCAATCCTCATGTCCACTTCCAAAAGCTCCCACCCAGTTTGGGCTGCTTCACACCATGCCTCCCGGAGAAGAAAAAGAAACGCCGAAAAGACATGCCCCGAAACCTTTTTGAGCTCCTTTCTCCCGCCCAAGGCCGCCCAGTCGGTGAACCGGCTCCGACCGGGCTCCTGGGACCAGGACGCCACTCCGCTGGAGCTCCATGGACGGGGGCTGCGGCCGCGCAGGGCGGCAAAAGCGACGAAAAGGATGGCTGAGCTTCTTGCTCCGTTCGTAGCCATGCCCTTTTAGGTTCGTAGCTTCTTGTTACTAGTAATGATGCCAGGAGCTACTAGTAGCTTCTTGCTACTGAAGAGCTTAGAACGGTGGTTCTCTCAGTTCCATCATGTTCCATCGCTGCTTCTTTGAACATCATAATATGTGATATGGAGAGCCTTAATGATCTAGGCCCCACCGCGTTTTGCGGTAGAGCCACTCCAGCTGACCCGCAAGGGATGAGTCGCCAAAACTGATGTGTCATGTGGTTCCCTTTCGAAAAGATTATTGTTGTGGCATGTGCCCTGGTGTATCATTCATCCTCTTCCTCCAGTTTGCGGCGAGGCACCGGCCCGGCTCGGCTGAGAGGAGTCGGCGGCCAAGGCAGTGGCGAAGAGACGGCGCGATCAACGGGGTGGTGTGGCGTGGTGGTGCCACCTAGACCTAAACCGCCAAAACCCAGACACAACCAATGGGTGGCCACACATTCACGCCAGGTCAACCAACTGAATGTAGGAATGTAAAAAGATTCTACTGACCAGAACTTTTGGGGGTGAGCTTTTCCAAAAGGTTGGGCGCATAGATGCAAGGTACAATGCTATTTGATAAGTTTCATGGCCGCTCCCTCAGCAAAAGCTCGCTAGTTATAGAGGTTGAATGCAAGCTGCAAGGTACCGTGCAAAGTCCTCAGGCAAAAAATGCCATTCCATTGAAGTTGTTCACAAAGGGGGGAGACTTGATGGCCTTTGCAGGAAAGACTTGCTGGCCTTTGCACATGATCTCTTTGGGGAAGAAGAGGCGGGGGGCCGGTTTGCTACCCAATGAGCCTATCGGCTGTGCACAACCTGGGGGACGACCCTCCAGGTCGTGAACCTGACACTTCCACCCACCCAACCACAGGGCCATTGCTCCGGTTCGGTGGATCGCACTTGGCCTGAGTGGATCGCACCATCCAACAGCGTGATGTACATAGGTATCCCAATTTCATAAAGCTGAGGCCCAAAAACGGAGGACTGCACTCCCTGAAATGATCATGGTCATGCGTGGAGTGGGGTTTCCACCTGTTTGGTCTTCGGAATGTGATCCTCCGCAATCGGAGGCCCATCCACCTCCGCTCCGGGGAGTGCGGAGAAGGATTTTAGATGGCGCCATGCCCCCAGTTCCGTGACTTATATGGCATGGGTTTTGTCAAGACTCTTGGCTCAAATCCTGAGTGATGATTTATATAAGGATGGGCCATCAACAGTCGGCTGGGGATTTGAGCCATTCGAGTTCTTATCGGGGGGTGTACTGTAATTACTTGATTTCCTCCAGTTTAATCCTACCAATCTCTCGATCTTCAACGCTCCAAGTTGTCTCCAAGTTGTATTCTCCAGGCTTCATCCCAACGCCTACCACTCCAGCCAGCACCGCTCTCCCACCCAACCGGAGCACGTCGCCCGAGGGCGCCCGCGTGACCACGGACGCCGCCCACCTTTTCTGCACATGAAAGGTCGGAGTTGAATCATTGCCCCCGGCTGAATGAGGCAGGCGGCTTGCGCTGGTCTTTCTGCGCCTGTCTCACCTGGACCTAGGGGGCCCCAGTTTGGCCTAGAGAGCCCCGGCGGGCCGAGAAAGGAGAGACGTGACGTGGAGACTGGGGTGGATTGAATGGAGAGTCATCTTGGTCAAGTCAAGTGGCTGCTGGTCTGGAGAAACCGTAGAGCGAAAAGGACTTCCATGGACTTCCAATAGCTGTTGGAAGGGGATTCAGACTCATTTTTTACCACTGACTGGTCTAAGTCTAAGGTTATATTGTGTTGGAGTGATGTAGGGGGATTTCCTACAGGATGTGGGCTGCGAGGAGTTGCTCGTACTGCTGCTCGTCACCAGTTCAGTGGCTCAGGCAAGCTCCACCGGACCAGGAGCAACCAAATGAAACAGTACTTCATCTTAAACCAGAATTGCTTTTAGAAACAAACATTGCAAACCTACAATCGGCACTATATAGTGAACATTTTGGCAAACTTGCAATCAACTGAGATGATGTCAGATGACAGCTCAAACACTTGTTTTTCAGGAAGCCCCACGCCATCTCTGCCCTTTTGTCGACCTTTTGGATCCTTCGCTCCACTGACTGACAGTGGAGCAGTGCACACAGCTCTCGACGAAGGGGTCGGAACCAGGGCGCCGTTTTCGTCCGCAAATCCGGTGGCGGTGAAGGAGGTGGCCGTTAGCCCGGCATGGAACTCAAGGTCTTCTGGAATGATCCTGAAAGAACTCCACTCCAGATTACCCAAATTGGCTGACTGGACACAAAGACACAATCACCACCCAGGGGAGCACGTAAATGGTACAAACCCGCTGTCCAGTTGATCTTGCATCATGCAGCCCATCGCTATGAACAAACGTCTGTCACAGAAAAAACAATGATGAACCCCCACATGTTCGACACAAAGGACTCAAAGGACCTTATAAATGTGACATTGGATGCTGGGATCACCACGTCAAAAAATGGGGCAGCACCATCACCAATGGGGCAGCCGAACCTTTCTTGCGAACCTTTCTTGCGGGGGTTTGGGCCGAACAATCCGTGCAGGACCTGCGAACCTTTGCTTGAGGAAAAAAGAAAACAATCCTAGCACTTCCGTAGACCTGGGTGCCCTGGAGTAGGAGGCCTAGGATTTGTTAGGACACCCTGTTTCAGGGTGATCCTGGATCATATTTTCCAGAAGGGGATTGACCCATAGGGATCCTTCTTGTTAACACACGATCGGCCAAAACCCTGTACCTTTGGATCTGGTCTGTGCGGGATTCCTTCGATGCCTCCTTCTCCATGCTGACTAGATGCTGTACAAAGGCCAACGGTGCGCGGGGTTCCTGCGCGCCGAGCCCTGGCAGTCGAATGCAGCCTGTGATCGAATGTCGATCCATCCAGGTTGACACTTGGAGCTCGCGCGCAGAAAAGGCACCTGCCGATTCTGGTCAACATGTACCGAAAACGCACATGGAGCAATGGGCTCGTTGAGTGCTGTGATGGTTGTGCTTTGCTGCCGTAGTGTGGCCTCTCCACGTGCAAATCGTCTCTTCACTTCTCCTCTTTCTTCTCCTCCGCCTTCTCTTCCTTCTTCTCTTCGGTCTTTTCCTCCGCCTTCTCTTCCGCCTTCTCCTCCGTCTTCTCCTTTGCTGCGACATGCTGGCACCATTCCCAAAGCAAAGGCCCAATCCCCTTGTTTCAACTGGCAGTTGAGCGCAAGCGCTCCCGCCAACGATCCTTGCAATCACATGGTGGAGGAAAATGGGCCCCTGGGTGGCCCCCGCTCTGAGACCTGGCTACTGCATTAGGCGAAGGAAAACCCTGCTGGGTTGGTAAGCCCGAAACCGGGAAGACCATTCAAGCGAGGTTGATCTGGCTTTGGAGTTCAAATCCTCAGCTCAAGCTGAGAAAAAAAATGTTGGGCACCGAATCCTGGGGTATAAATATCACAACGCACTGCTTGAGTGTTTCGGGAAGGTCGTCTTGGGAGGAGGACCTAGGGGAACTGCGTACACTCCCTGAAGCAATGATGGAACAGTTCGGCCGCTGGAAGACTTTTTTCCTCAATGAGGCGATGTGGTCAGCTTTCATGATTGGAAGGAGAATTAGTGACGCTTGGACCGATGGAGCTCTCCTCCTTCTTCTTGGGCTCCTCCTTCTTGGCTCCTGCCGCTCCGAGACGACGAGCCTCCCGGGGACGAAGGGGGGAGGTCCACCTTGACCAGATCAGACGTCACACAGTCCCTGGAATCACCCAGAGACCTGTCTGGGACTGGCAGAGGTACATTGGGGCCAGGTCCTATCCCAGACACGACCCATAAGACTCATACTGGGACTCAGGTCCTATCCCAGACACAGGGGTGGTGCCAGGGGGGTCAATGGGGCGGCATAGATTCCAGTCCCATGGAGTGTCTGGGTATGGGACCTTGGTCTTCGGATTTGGTCCTCCGACCTTTTTCGGCCGTGCCGTCCACTTCCGTGGAGCGTGGTTTCCGCAGCTGAACCATGGACCGATCTCCTTTCTGAGGAGTGGGTGGATTGTGTTCTCACACCTCCGGCATGAATCAGTTCCCTTTGCCAGATGGTCTCCAGGTGTTGGAGAACGGAGGTCTTTCGTGATCGTCCCTCGCTAAGAATCCGGGCCCGAACCAATGGGAAAGGCTTTGGTTCAGGTCTGGAACCCTTCCCTTTTGGTGGAGAAGGTCCAATCCATGCCTCGAACAGTCCAAGGATTCCTAGGGCAAGGTAGGGCTACAACTCCCTGTAGCCTTGGTTCCCTGTTCAATGGGGAATATGGATAATTCGGGTGACCCTTATATAGGCGGTCCCTCCTGAGCAAAAACTAAAATAGGTCCCACCCCCAGCGAGATCCCAACGTGCACGCCTGCTTTGGCCTGAGGCTTCTTATCACCTGCCGGGTGGCACAGGACCCCAACGTTGGACCCCAACCTTGCTGTACATCTGGAGGCATCGCATCACAAACGTGTGACTGGCACGTTGTTCATCCAGGGCTCCTGTCTGGGTGTCCTGTCTGGAGGTCCAGTCTAGCAGTGTAGGGTAATGTAGGGTAGTCTATTGGCGACCCGGAACGGATGATCTAGGTATGCATCTTTAACTTCAACATTAATGACAGTACCCAGACACTCCGTGTATATCGTATATATGCCCTGACCCTTGAAACCACCCCAACGATCCCCAAGGTAGACATACAGCATTCGATCCTCTTCCGAAGACCAACCCCCGGTGGATTTGGGGGTTCCATGTGGTCCGAGTAGCAGGGGAGTAACAACATCGATATCATTTCCAACGCATGGTACGGCTAGCTTGTTGACACAGCCGCGCTTCAATCTGGACCGCTTTCGGGATCAAGAAGAGCCACCAACGGACGCCGTCTGACGGTCCAAAATGCAGCACGCTGAGAGTCCAAAACCAGTTTCTAAGATGGTTGTTGGCTTGCTTTTGTAGATGTTGTGTAGTGCAAAACCCACAGTAAGAACAATGGCTGTTCGGGAGAAGGCCCATCTAAAAAGCAAAGTGGTTGTTCGGCTTCTACCAAGGAATTATATAGAAGCGCTTCAATCTCCCAAGCTCACCCACCTGCCCCTGGCCTGTCTTCTCTTCGGGCTGCACATACGGCGGGTTCGCCTCCACGGCGTCTAAGCACTTTTTCGCCGAGAAGTCCTCCTGAACGTGCTGGGCCGGTGATGGGGTCCAGACCGGATGGCAGACCCCCTGCCATGGCCAGGTCATGTAGATTCTTGATTGTATATGCCACCGGCCCCAGATGAAGAGGATGTCCAATTCAAATGGGGTGCGTTACAAAATGTAACAAGGGGGTGCGTGGATGCGCGCCTGACACAGACAGTCCGCAAGTCCGTTCATTCAAATGGGGTGGGTTTATGAATCAAGGAGTCTACTTGAGAGGCGGGGAACGAAAGCCGACGAATGTGAGAGCACCTAAAAAATCCCCTGGGGATGATATTTGTGATATCGTCACTGCGCAGGCGCAGCGTTTTGTGAGATGGTGAGTTTTCTGCGCACTCACATTTGGTGGATTGGCATTTGGAGGGTAATCCAAGCAACACAAGTCCGAATCAAGGCAACACAAGTTCTTTTGCGCTGAAGCCTGTGCCACCAAAGTCTAGACTCTAGACAAGCTCGCCCTTTTGGCCCGTCTGGCACTTTCTTCATCCTTGGCGCTCTCTGCCCAGGCTGGCTTGTACGAAAAAGCGAGCCCCTGGCCCAGGCCTTCCACCAAGCCGTCCACTCGTTCGCCTTTGTGGGTCTCGTTCCAGCTGACCATTCCAGTTTCTGCTTCTCTGACGTAGCCAGGGGGACCACCCCAGACTGGCACAGGCTGGGACACCCATGTGTAGAATTGCTACTAATAAGGAGTTGCCAGAAAAAGGACACACCAGCCCAGTGCAACACAAATGTATAGAATTGTTACTAACGAGTTGCCAGAATGCGGACACACCAGCTCGGACTGGGGTCTCCCAATGTGTAAAAATGCCCCCCCCAAAAAAGGGCGTTGGCAGATGTTGGCAGCGGACACAGCAGCCCAGACTGGGAGCAAATGTAAAGAATGGTCAGTGACCAGTTGCTGAGGAAGCAGACCCACCACTCCACCCTAGCTTCACGTCGCCACAGGTGCGTGGCCAGTTTGCGCACCGGAGACCAATGTGACTTGCCACAACAAGCGGGTTGCCAGAGGGCGGGCGTACCAGCCGAGATTGGGGAGACTTGTATGCATGGAATTGCTACTAAGAAGGCGGATGTGAATCATCCAGTGGGGCGATGTGTATGTATACCATTGCTATTGAGGAATTGCCAGAAGATTGGGAAGACAAATGTAAAGAATTGCTCAAGGAGTTGCCAGAAGCCAGCCCAGACTGGGAGACAAATGTACAGAATTGCTACTAAGGAGTTGCCGGAAGGCAAACACACCAGCCCAGAATGGGGCGGACACACTAAACGCCTTGAGAGAAACTGTTTGGAGAAAAAGAGCTAGGGCCAGCTAGGGGAATTCAAAGGGTGACTAGTACACTTAATAGTGCACCCTCGCTGAAGCTGAATTCCTTTATGGCACCCTCTGGTTGCCCTTCGGATGTTGTTTATTGAAGTTTAAATTGATGTTCTAAAGGCAGCACGGCCTGGTTGTAGAGTAGAATGGCCATCCAAGGCATTCTGCACTCCTCACCAAAGTCAACAAGCGTGGTAGCTTTCAGAACCCTGGTCACTACGGTACTCTGGGTCTCTCCACGCGGATATCGTCATGCTTTTTGAACTCCCGGAGTGACGTGCGGGCGCCTCCCATCTTCATCTCGTTCCCCACCAGGATCAGTTGGACCTCATCCTACTGGAACTGACCTGGCCTTTTGGGGACCTACCCTAAGACGTCCGGGCTCTCCAAAACGGGCGTAAGACTCAAGGGCGCCCCCAAACCCGGTCTGTGTGGAGGTATTTACCCAGACACTCCATGTATGCCATATATGCCTACATTGACCCCCAAAACCACCCCAACTGATCGGCATATATGACAGACATGGAGTGTCTGGGTTATGTCTTTTTTCGGCTTCCAATCCCGCTAACCCAAGCCGTCCCAGGATCGGTCGAGGTTCGCTACGTGGCACGGATGGTCCGCGCTCACCCTGACCCCGCCGCGCAGCCTCCGTGCCATCGTCCCTGATCATGTAGAAGCAGCCTCAGCGCGGTCGTTCCGACCACAGGCGGGAACGAAGGGACCAAGAGAGGAAGCCCTTCATTGGTAGATTGAACTAGTATAAATCCAGGACCTTCTCCACCGTCGGGGTGCCCTGTCTGGAAGCCGAACGGCCGGTGCGGTAGATCGTGTGGGGTAGTCCAGCCAGGACACCCCCGAAGGTCGGAGGGTCCAGGTATCAACATATGATATATTGAACTAGGACAATTGTAATTGTATAAAATGCATGCACAAAAAATCTTAGTGAAGTAAGGATTGTTCGGGAAAGCCATGTAAAGTCCACAAAACTAATGATTGGAATCACGGTTAAACATCCCAAAAGGGACCCGCGGATGATGGTGGCCGTTCCAACAATTCTGGGCTTGCGTATGTTCAATCAACTCGTAGACTTTGCATGACGCCCACTCAGTAACAACAAATTGAAGGCATGTGAGTTCTTTCCAAAAACGGTGCCCCCTTTTGATGCTTCTCACTCCCGCCGCCCGCTCGTCCCAGTCACTGCCCTCCGAGTGGCGGCTATCGCCCTGTTGACTTCGGGCGACCTTGATGCCGACCAAGCCCTTGCTCTTCCCTGCAGGTCCGCGACGCCCCGGAAGAAGGATCGAACGCGTAACGCGAAGGCTCTGCGTGACCCAATAGCAATGGCCTCCTGGCCCACCTCCGGTGACTGGTGGGCCAGGAATGGGTCTGGGGGGTCTAACTACATTCTGAGGTAGGCCAAGAGCCCTAGGGAATAGCAATGGCCTCCACCTAGTAGCTTCATGTGGCTTCTAGTTACTAGAACGCTTTCTTGTTACTAGTCCCCCCTGTGGGGCCGGGCCAAAGGTCAGCTGAATGCGTGGCTTTCGTGGATCAAAGGTCTCCCAAACGCATGGGACAGCAGTCGAACCTCGCCGCCCCATGACCCATAACTGGTGGTTTTAGATCATTTTTACGCTACACCATGCCACACCATGGATCCACTGGGTATATATTACTGTATATACCCTAGGGCTCCAACCACATCCCCAGAAGGTGGTTAGACCCCCCTGGCACCCACCCCAACCATCGAACCTCAGGAGGTAGGCTAGGAGCCCTAGGGATAACTGTCTACACGCCTTGAATATACGTGGATGCCATGGCCCCAATTGATTGGTCTGAGGGTGCTCTTCATTCACTCCAGGTCACCGTGATTCCAGGGAAAAGCGTGACGCTCTGAAATCAGAAGTTCCCAGAAATGGTTGAAGGGAACACCTAGTACCCTAAGGATCCTCGGACCCGACACCTTCGCAGGGGTCGAACCCTCGTTTTGGTAGGGGTCGTCGAACGGGCTCCCTCAACACCCTTGGGTTTTTAGGGTCCGGATCCTTAGGGTTCACAAATCATGGTTTTCAATGGTTTTCAATGGTTTTCAAGTGTCACATCTGCAGTGACGGAAGGTGTCGACTTGCCTGGGCTGGGGTGGAACTCCAAGAGGCTCTTGATGAGCTTGAAATCGCCTCGGCAACAGGTGCCGGGTTTGGGAATGGCTGGGCTTGGCACAGGGAAACAATAACATCATATATGAAGACCCTCCAAGGGGTGCCCAATGGAAGCCTATAGGTAGTGTGGGGTAGTCCATTGGACACCCTTTGGAGGGTCCAGGTATGAAGACCTCGTTCAATTCAAGGGGAGAGGTTGGGGTAAGCAGTTTCTAAGGGGTTGGAGTCAGTTGGAGTCTACAACATCATTGATTCATGGTTGGGGTTCCTACATTTCCCTAACAGTCCGTGGGAGTCGATGAAAAAATAGCTCCGATCTTTGTGAATCCCAGCATTGTTTAAATGCTTCTTACTAAGGATGTCAGGCTACAACATCAGGTCAACCTTTTCTTAATGGTCGAAAGGATGGCTTGGGCCTAGGGTGATCTTTCAGCTGGCATTGCACTCTTGCATGCACCCCCACCGAACATCGAAAAGAACCTCCCTGAAAATCCCACGCACCGTGCGAATCCTGCGCCACCATGGTGCCTCGCGTGCGGAGCACCGCCCCGCCGGCCATGGCACCGTGCGGCTTCCGACGGAGCACCTCCCGTCGTGCGCGGTCCACGCCGAGCGGCTGCCGTCGGGCTTCAGCTGTTCTCCGTCGGTGCGGGAGTTCAGAATCTCCTGACGTCGGGGCGGAGGTCCGGGCGGGCCCGGTCCGACCCGACCAGATCTCCGGTGCGAAGCGAAGTGCAGAGATCGGTCGACCGGTGGTACACGAACTGGTGGTTTTTGGCATCCCTTCGCGAAGACCAAACCAACCGTATATGTAGAAAAAGCCCATCTGGTATGATGGCGGAATTGACATGGAGGACACACTAAAAGGACATCATTGAATCCAGCACCACAGAAAGGTCAGGGGTGTCTATAAACCATCCTTTTCGGTGGTGCTGGATGATGTTCAGTGCATGGGTTGAGCATCCTTGTTTTGGTTGGTTTATACGTCCGACCTTGGGCCCGATGCCAGGTACCATAGAATACCAATTGGTTCTACGCGACCAGGGGTATCCCTCTCTATGAACCAACCAACCAACCAATACCAAAAGGCCATCTATATATCATCTATGGCTTTGTAACCACCCGGCACAACGGATTGGACTGCTTGCAAAACAGGGCCCGAGGATAATTCTTCACCTCTATTTCAATGATCTTGGGAGGCTTTTCCGAGCACATAAAATCGATCACAATTGCCACCAAGTTGATGTCAGGGATGTCAGTGATGTCAGTGAACAAAAATACGACCGACTGAAACGCTGATATTGGGCACCTTCCGAACTCTGCCTTTGCATGAACTTACCAAAATTGGAGACAAGAGTCTACACTGGCCCTGCGACGACCTGGTCCCAAACGTGTGACGAGCTGGTCCCAAACAGGTTCAGTCTGACCTGGGCGATCGCCTATAGGGATATGAAATGACTATAACAACTATACCAACAGTTCCATTCTTTCGGGTCCCAGATGGTCCCAGGTGCCGAACGGAGACTCAACCTCACCCTTCTCTGGAGCCTCTCGACAGCACGGATCCATGGGACGGAACAGCACTGACCGCCCCAGTCGACTGGTGGAATGGAATGAATCCCGTTTGGGCTCCTGGCCCGGCCCACCGAACCGTAACTCGGTTCAGTGGGCCAGGGGTGGAGTTCCGTGCCGGTCGAAGACCACCGGTCAGTGGGGTCGGAGATGGGCCGGGCCAGGAGCCCTAGCTGCCCTAGCTCTCGGACTGCTGTCCCATGGATCGTGGGGTCCTGGTAAGTCGACTTACACTTTCACTGACCCAGTGGATGGCACGTTCGCAGTTCGCACTATCTGGTGAGTCTTCCAGCAAGAAAAACCGTCCGCGGCCAAGACTGGGTTCTTTTCGAAGTGAGGTCGTTCAAAAACGGAGCATGCGAATACGAAGCTTCTGGCATGGGAGGGGTTTGATACTCTCGCAAGTCTCCATCCACCTGACCATCCACGGGACTGAAATAATTACAGTTATAAAAGACTATAAAAAGAATGGTCTTTAGGTGACCCGAAAAGGAATATCCTTTACACTGCAGCCGGTCAAAATATAGTCTTTGGACTTCTAGGGGTTACATAATATACATTTACATACATTTGCCCCATCCAAATGGCCCATCCATGTAGATAACAATTCCACACATGGATGGTCTGGGACCTGTCTTTGACCAGCAAACATCTCGAGCTCCTTTTTTTCGTCTCTCTCTCTCTCCATGCATTTCGCGCGCATCCTTCGCAAGAGCCACGCACTCGTCTCTCAGTGCTTGGTGCTTGGTGCTTTCATGGGTCCCTGTGCGCCGAGCCTGATTGGAGGCCTGTTCCCGCCTGTTCCATGAACATTTGGAGGGCCAGGGCGAAGTAACCAACTGAATGTATTTAGGAACCAAAACATGAATCAGCCAAAACCACCTTGTAGCGATTATACAGTAATGAAAAACATGCCGCTGATATTTGGGGCCCTTGAGCTCCACTATGGCAATTCACACGAATCGTCAGAAAACACTCCGAAAGTGGGATGGTCGACTGCAGCTGCAAAAGACATGATGGCCTTCTGGGGAAGACTCGCAGGGGTCGATCTGGTCATATCTGGTATCATATATACCGTATTTGACTGTTGAGTCGGAGGGTATCCCCTGCATGAATCAACCAACCAATAGCCATTCAAACAGTAAAAAGTCCATTCATGGCCGCGATAAATCTGTTTCACTGGCCGCTATTCACTTTTTGGACCTCCGCGCCCCATGTCTCCGCCCCGTGCGCACGAGGAACCTCCGGTCGCTCCGAGTGGAAAACGGCTCCCGCGGTTTGGGGAACCTGGATCTCCCCGCGGCGGCCCGATCGCCGCCATGCTTCTGAAGCCCGGCGAGGCTGCCCCCAACATACACATTCCACATCGTTCCACACATGAATAAGACCGACATCACATGGAATCTGCTTGGTGATCGAATTCCATCAGGTATACCTCTAATACTTGGTACTTGGCGCTCTGTGAGATCCATCTGACAATATAGGCCTTGTTCGGTTCTTTCACGATGTTCTTAGCATCGAACGTGATGGGTTTAGGTGGTCTACCCTCCCTCCACTCACCTGGAGAGGTGGACCACCGAGGCCCAGATTCGGAGGGACCACCGGGGTTCTCTTTTGGACCGGACCATCCCTCCGGTCGCGGCGGATTCATGCGCCGCGTCAGAGGATCAACCGAGCACCTGGGCGGCACAAAAGAAGATGTCTTAGACCGGGGATCCCCAAGGGATAAATCTATAAACCACACAACTTGGGGGCCCCAGCACGTACCATCGAACCCGGTTGACCACTGGAACTTGGAGATCCATCACCCTCTGGACTATGGCCGTCCTAAAACCGCCCGACAGGTCCCGAACCAAACCCCAGGGCCCTAGGGCCCTGGTTCGGGTCCGGAACCCCCTCCATGAGGGTCCAGGGTCGCGCGTCTGGCCCGGTCGGACGTCCGGTTGGGGCGTGCGTGCTAGGACATGAGATGCTGGGATTTGCTTAAGGAACCCGGAGAAGCCAAAAACCACCAAAAACGCCTGCAGAACATTCACCCGTAGGGGACATGCAAACCATTGCAAACCATTCTAAGCAAACCAGGGCGAGTATAAGTATATATATATATGTACATGTCCCATGTGAACCTGTACAACACTACTACAATGATTGATTCGCATGACATACAGCACCTTGAGTTGTTCCCACCACCCTAGCCCACTTGGTGACGACAACATGAAGATCAATGACCTTGTCCTGTGTCAACCGGTCCAAACAATGATGAAACCTTGAGCTGTGAAATGATCTTTCAGAGATGGTTAGCTGAGTTGCTGGTGATCCAAACAAACTAGAACTAGACACCATTAGACACCAAGGGGTGGTATTTAGCTTGAATGGAGAATGGGCAACCCCACAATACCCAAAAGGTGGTTCATGTGGAACCCATATATATATATATAAAGGACATCTTTGGGTTTGTGCCATCTACTGTGAATATTCAATACATAGCAAGGGGTTGGGGACTCCCTTAGCTACGGGCCCATGGGGAAGCACTGGAAATCCCCTTCATCGACCCGGCCATGTTCTTCGCCGCCCGCTACAACATACGCTACAACATACGCCGCTCAGCACCCATCACCCGGAACCACCGGAACCCCACCATCGCCGAGCCTCGCGCCGCCGAGCCACTCGAAGCCTCCGAACTGGCCTGCGAGTCCTGAGCCTCGGTCCCGGAGCCGCCCGGCGCGAGCGCCTCGGGCGCCGGCGCCGGGCCCGGCGCCAGCGCGTCGCTGTCGGGCGTGGCGTCTCCCAGCAGGGCTGCAGTGGCTGGAAGCACCTGGAGACCCGAAGAACGGGCGGAAACGCGGCGGTGCGTGACGAAGCCTCCAACAAGGAAGGTGCACGAGAACAACAATGTCTACTAAGTGTTCAAGTTCTATGTGAGTTCTGCTTGAATGTTGTTTGAAGGGACTTGGAGATGATTTCGAGAGTGCGGCTGCTACTAGCAAACCATGAGCTTTCATGGGGTGAACCGGGGGTGGCATATATACTTGGAGCCGACTTCAAGTACATTAGAAAATGGGACATGACCCCATAAAAACAGGTACGACTGTACCCATTTTCGGAGGTACGAACGGGTCGACTCCAGGTAGATATAGTTTGAAGGATCTATTTGTGGTGGCGCAGCTTCGGCTTCAGCTTCAGGCTTCAGGTCTCCAGCGCCAGCTGCTGGAGCCCAAGGCAGCTAAAGGTGGCCAAAGTTTCACCGGCCAAGAAAACATTCCCTAGGGCTCCTGGCCCACCACCTGAGGTTTGGTGGTTGGGGTGGGTGCCAGGGGGGTCTAACTACCGAACCTGAGGATGTGGGCCAGGAGCCCAAAAAATCAGATCGGGCGGTTTTCTTGTCTTTCTGGAACCCCCCCTGAAGAGATACTTTCCATCCAAGAACTACCCGAAGTGGTAAATGACCAAAGAATTAAAGAATCCTAGACCTAGCATTCAAAGCAAAAACTGACCTGGTTTTGTGGCGCAAATTCCTCACAACATGTAAAACTGCATGAATTATCATGCATTCAATGGTGGGCCACGAGTCTAGGGCTGGCATAGTCCCATTTGACCTGGCATCCTCTCACAAAACGCAGATCTTCGTCCTCTAGCTTCTGTGAGCCCTGGTTGCATACACACCGTTGGATCTTCCAACTCTTCAATCTGTCTGCGCAACTTGGCAGGTTTGACGGATGAAAAAGGCAATGAATCTGCATACTTATATATTCATGCATAACTTATGCTTATACAGTATCACCTAAAACGTACTATGTTACGAATTATGATGCATTGTCATGCATTATTCTATTAAACATTGTAACCGAAACATATATAGTAAGCTGCAATCACTTAGAATATTCCCTAATGCCCACGTGGGCATTAGAGATTATTCTATATCTTTTGGGGAACACGTAGAATATTGTTTGGATATTTTTGGACGAGAAGCTGAAGAAAGACATGTCTGTTGTCAAGCTATGTGCATATCCAGAAAAACCAGATGTCAATTGCACTCTCAGCGTGCCTTTGTGTTGCCACTACTGCTCCAAAGGGGAACATTGAATGCAACCTAG